TGAAAGACATAGAACAACACTGCATTGCCTGGGAGGAAGCAAATACTTGGTCAATGGCCAACCAAATTGCACAGCGCATTCATGACGAATCGGGTCCTGGAAAGAATGACTTCCTGATCTCCCTTGCCAGCTACCATCCGGAAAGTCACATCCTGCTTCATCTCTCGAAGTACCTTCTTAAATGGAGGAAGGCTTCTCCACAGCAACGACACAAAATATGCGGGAACGGAGTTTTTTCAAAGCTTCAAAAGATGAAAGATGCCCATGTGAAGCAAGGACAATACTACCTTGAGTACTTGAAGTTTTCATGTGACCCAACCTGCGATGAATGCGAGGAAGAAGGTTGGACAGGTGGCATTCCCATTACACGATCTCCATTGCCAGCCCTTGATCCGTCCTCGCCAGGAAAGTATCTCCCAGTTGATGAACCTCGTTTGGCTCCAAGCGAGGTTGACAGTATCCTTCCTAGTGTACAAGTGAAGAAGATGTTTGTTGAAAAGAAAGTGACCTCTTCTGATAACCAGGCCATACGGCAAGCATGCTTAAAGCTTAACATCGACGAAAGTTCTTGCAGAAGATATCTTCAGCACCTTGAATTCTTGGCTCTAAAAGCAGACAAAAGAAATCTGGAAAGAAACACCATTCCAGAAGATATTTGTTGGGAGAGCAGAGACGATGTTGAAAGACTGACTAACAAGCAACTTCGGCTCTATCTAAGGCAAGAAGGTCTAATGGTATCTGGAAACAAGGCACAATTAGTTGAGGGAATACTTAAGCATGCAGATGGTTCTGTAGCAAGAACATTTGATGAAGACATCGAAGATGATGATGAAAACATGCCCTCCAGTTCTCATGATGATACCTCAAGTGATTCTGAGGAGGAGTCAACCGAGTATGAAGGTGGTTCATCAGGCGACGATTATGTGGAGCGCAGCTTCCACGTTTTATTTATTGATGATGCAGACATACCAGAAGTAGTGTAAAGGTAAAGAGGGATGTAGGGAGGATCGGAGGTTGGGGAGGGGGGGTTGAAAGTAATCTCCCCTCTAGACGGGGGTGGACAAGAAGTTATTTTAACTTTAATTCAGTGGGGGTGCAACTTTATTTTAAGGCCTACTTTGCTAATTTTAGAACCCCCCCCTCCAGATAATTATTGCACAGTCCCTTAGTCCAGATCTTTCCGTCTTCAAGCGGTCTTAGCCACTGTTAATAAACCTCACAAAAAAAAACTTCTGTGTTTATTAGATTATATAGAATAAATCGGAATTGCTGATAAGCACGCCGGGCTCCACAAATATTAAAGGTCATTACAAACAACAAAGGCGAAGTTTAGATACCTACAGGTTTTTTTCACCACTTTTCCCCCTGGAATTCCCAATTTTTGACTCCACTGCAGTGGAAGTCCTCATCAGTGATAGTTTCCATACATCTAATGAAATACAATCGCTATCTGTAACTAGAAAGAATATGAGATAAGGGACACGAAGGAAGGGCGTTATAACCTTATTAATCTTTGCCCTAAAGTATTTTGCTACTTACGAAACGTTATTTCCTGATATGATATTCGAGAAAAGGGTTTCATGAAAACAGCGTTAATCCGACAACAAATCGCGGCTCTCCTGTCCGCCAGCGTTGAACAGACCTCCTTCTTCTATCCTGAGAATTCTTTGATGTTATATCGAGTGTGTTAACAGTGTTAACAATACGCGTGTGTCTGAGGATAGCGGCAGTTGTCAAAGGTGAAGCATCTTATACTTTGTTGTACTTTACGTCGTTGTGAATTAGAATCCTCCTTTAAATTTAAGCCTTTCATTATCAAGACTTCATGAGAGCCGTCTCTGCAGAGTTTTAATTGGTAATTGGAAATTCCATACCAGCCAATGATTGTCAACATGCTAGGCAGGTACATGTGCAGCCCTAAATACTTAAGATTAGAGAGATTAATACCGCGACGGCTACAAAAACGTCGCTTCTCGTTTAATTTGACAAATGTTGGCGAACTTTTTTGGAGTTAAATTCTAAGGGACAAAATCGAAGTCTAGGAAAAGACTGAGAAGAAAATCGTTGTCTTGAGTTCACGCCGCTCCAGAAAACGTGAAAATAGGGCAGTTTTATGTCGTATTCTTGCAACGACGGCAAACAAATGTACAAAACAGCAGAGTTGTTTTTAGCCAATCTAAACCTATGGCTTTTTTGACGTTCTCGTTACCGTAGCCCCCTTCAGTCATAGGCCCATCTACTAACAAAAAAATACATCGGATTATAAGCTTAATTAAGCTTAATTAAGAACCAGTAAGAGCGAAACGTACTTTTAATCAAAGCGTTAATTAAAGCGTTGTGAATTTCTGTTCATGTTCAGGTATCAATAACTTGGAAAAGTAAGAGTCTTAAAAATATCACCGTTGAATTTTCACAGATATCGAAACTTAGCTTTTTTAAAAGTAACACAGTAACGAGCTATAACAACTAATTTAATTCTAAAGGAAAATGTTTATTCTCATTAGCATTCTCTTCAATGGTGTTTATAAGTTTTAATACTACAATGAGAACCAAGAAGTCATACCAGTCACTTATACTGAAGTGGAACGCTGGTCAATTGACTTTATTACAACTACTTAAACTTAAAAATACCAATTAAAACTACACCACAAAAATAAATAAAGTTTTGTCTTTCACCTTGTCCCCAAGGCCTCTCATTAAAGCCGACCACGTACAGAGCGAACATTTCGCGACATACAACACGATAAGAGACTGCTTTTGAAAAATTTCGATTGTGCTGTCTTTCTTCACGTGGTTATTTTCAATGAGAGAGGGCCATTATCGCTACATATGACACCTTCCCATCAAAATGTTACTTATGTTTGTTTCCATAGCTATCACAAAAATATATTAAGAGCACACTGTGGTAGTAAAATTATCTTAACGACTTCAAAAAGAAATTATGACGAATAATTTCTCTGTATTAAATTCAATTTCATTCAGAAGCCCATTCATTTTGTTACAAATTTCTAGGGCATTCATTTTCAGGGATAACGCACGAGTATTATACCCCATTATCAATTTTAACCCAGTTTTTAATGACACAAAAGCACGGAGTGATTGGTTAATTACGACTTAAAGGTCGATTCAAATGTTCAAACGCACAGAAACTGCTGTCTTAATGAAATTCTGGAATGCTCAGAATCTTACGATTCCTGATTAAAGAACACACTGAAACTGAGTTACTTGATTCATTGAAAATTATTTCCTTCTCCCCTCAAACTCTAAGGTAAAATCCCCATGTCACCTAATCTTGTGGGAAATAACTAACTACGGACGAAACAGTTCTCGTATTCACCTGGAATATGAACTGACTGTAAAAACATGTGGTCTTGAATTGTAGTAGTCAACTTACTTAATCGTTTGCCTCATGAAGCCTTCATTACATAATTAAGATGTAGATATGTATCGTACAACGAGGTAGTCGTTATAAAAAATCGAGATAGAGTGCGGTTAACAACACGGGAAAACAGAGCGTGATAAATATATCATTCAGCCAGTGATGCAAACAATAAAGACAAACGTCTTGTTAAAAGTTAATTGTTTGTGTTTTCATTTTTTAATCATGTTGAGAGCAAAGAAGTTACGTACTAAAATTAATAAGCCATTGAAAAATATTCTTTCTGCTAGCTTGTATTGTGTACGACAAAATTGTTGTTTATAACCCTTTTACTCCCAGAGTCAATTCTGGAGACTTGTGATATTTATAGTACAAACTTTTGAGGTAACATATTAAGCATGAGACGCAGTGTTTCATCACCCGGATGAAACACTGTGAGGAGAGTTGAAAATACAACGCTCAGCAGTGTATTTTGACGAACTTCGAGGTGTTTCATGTCGAATGCTTGATGTTACTTCTCAAACAAAATGATTTTAGAAGGAGAAATTAAGGATGCAAAAATGAGCAGTTTTTCATCTGATTTCCAAACGCTCATTAAACATTATTTCCGTGGTATTTTCTTCATGAGTTATTAATGAGTTTGAGAAGATATGGTTGAAATCCTATAGATCGTTTTCAGTCACGTGTTCAGCAGCTTTGCAAATTGCTTGGAATAAAAGAAAGTTTTAACATGTGAAAAGAGTTCAATTCCCGCGGGATTTATTTTGTACACAAACATGGCCCCCGATTCATTATTTTGTACACAAATATGGCCGCCGTGACGTCATGTGAAAACGATCTATAGTGTGGCCATTCATATGAAAGCTGTTAGAAGTTTTGTATGTAGTCCAAACACATGATACTTTTTTGATCTAAAAGGTTTTTTTTTTTTAATTTTGGACGTTAAAACTCTTAGAAGACAAAGGGTTCCTTTTCAAATAGTTGTAGTTATTCCCACGTGACGTCTTGCAATTTCTCACTTAAGTGAGGAACATCGCAGTTGTAGAGTTCGTTGATCTGTTGTATATCGTGTTTACTGAAGAACTGTCTTTGCCCAAACCTCCTGCTTGGATCCTTTATCGATTCAATTGTGTCCTGGTCATTTTGAGAAAATGCGTGATTGTTGTAGTGAAGACAGGACTACAGGAAAAAAGTGTAGAGAGTTAGAGAACATGAACGTCAAAAATAAAATACAAACACAAATAGCTCAGTTTTTCCATTGTAATCATAACCATTACAATTTTAATCAGAAACTTACGGCGGGAGCATTGTTAAGATTTGTTTCCAAAAGAGAGGGACAAATACAGCGTAAGTTTGATGAATAGAAGTTCTTTAATATTACGGCACACACAGCATAAAGTTGTTCTTCTTGTAGTGCTAACTATGTTCGCCGTAGGTTCCTGGTTACTCTGTTTCTTGCAATAAAGCTTTAGGTAAGAATATCCTTTCAGATAGGAGTCTGTCGGCACTCTACTCTATTGGTGCGTCAACTTTCACCAATTTGTTAGTGTAGCATTTTAAGGTTAAATTTGACCAGCATTTTGTGCAGCGAGTTCTACGGTCACGATTGCCTTCAAACTTGCAGATAATAATAATAATAATAATAATAATAATAATAAGTATGTGTAATCAAATGGTGACGAGTGAAATTAGGGAATAATTTCACGCGCGTTTTGTCCAAATCCTTATAATTTCCCGCGCCTTTAGGCGAGGGAAATTATTAAGAATTGGACAAAACGCAAGTGAAATTATTCCCTAATTTCACGAGTATACCATTTGATTACCTATTAATATCATGGGTGACGAATTGCGTTAGCAATCGAGGATTTTTGACTTTTTTATCCTGGATCGTATCGATCGATTGTGAACTCCGCTCTCTCAAACGTTTAGAGCTAAAATATGGATTAAGTTTTCAGAATTTTTCCACAATCTACCTCTAAGAATCCTTCTTGATGTGCTCTTTCGTGTGTCCAGGTTTTCTAAAGCGTCTTTTTATGCTCCGACATCTTCATTCATGACATTTTAAAACTTCCTCGCCATCTTGAAACGGAGACGTACGGCAGGTTGCCATGGCAATTTGGTAATTTCACATGTGAAATTACAAATTAACGCTGAAATTTCGCGCCAAAATTAAGGAGTAATTCGTCACCTATGATATTATAATAATAATTTAATTCTTATATTGCGTGCTTTCCATGTAATGATCAGGCGCGCATTACATGATTTCTATCTATAATAGTTTAATACAGGGTATCTAACTAATAATTATTTAAAATATACTATGATAAGATTAAAATATACAACATATGTGAAGATACTAGTAATTATCGTGATAAAAATTAATAAATTAATAAAAAGCTTCCCTAAAGATGCGCGTTTTCAGATGGCACTTATTAATCCCTAGATCTGTAATAGAACGAATCTCACGCGGTAATACATTCCAAAGTGCCGGAGCTGCGACCTGGAATGATCTGTCTCCTAATGTAACCCTACTTCTATAAGTTGGCGTTGCAAGCAACAAAGCATCCGAGGAGGATGTAAAACTAGAGAGCTCTGAGGCTTATTTGCTGAAGTTAGGGAAAAATCTGTCGTGGGATTTCGAAGTTACTTACATTTTTCGTAAAAATGCGGTTTTAAATATATGCCGATATCTCAAAGGTTTTTATACCAACAAGAAAACAAATAAAATTCTCTTAAAGTTCCATGATGATTTATTTGGTACGCCAAAAATCATAGAAATCGGTTTAATCTTTTATTTTGAAAAACGCAAATCAAAAACATAACCAACACGCACATAAATAGGTTCTAGCCACCTTAAGTAAAACTAAAAAAAACTTAACCCAAGCTTGTCCGCTGCTACAATTAATGACAATGCGAACACCATTAAAGCCTTGTTTTCCACAATACGGTTACCACAAGCATGACAAATTGAAATAGTAAGTAAGGTATTCAAGACAACTTATCAAAACAACACTGTTAGACTAACATACATAAAATACTTACGTCATAGTCATAAAAATTTTTATTGGCAGGAAGTGCTTCAACTTGTCCTACAGTGTATTTCTCAAAGTTGTGCATCATTGCTGAGGATGATAAAAATATGACGATACTGTGACAAATGGGGCAAAGGTTTCAGTGTCGGATGAAGGGTAAGGGCCTAGGGAGAGGAATTTGTCATGCAGCAATATTCAACGCAGTTGGACCCCTCCCGGGCCCCCCGCCATCATGAATTTGTGGATAGGCCGTGAAATGTATTAGGTCGCTAAGTATGCTGGGATAGGTTGACCATGTGCTTTTGATAACGGCGGCCATGCTACGTTTGCAATCAAATTGGTTGAGTTAAATCTGTTTGTTTGGATATTTTATTGCTCTTGGAATCACTACAGGCCGTAAGGTTTGGGGTACCAGCTAACGGTGAAATGGGTTTAAACTGCTTTTATTGAAGAACTCGTCTTCTTTGATCACGTCTTTTGAATAACCAAAATTCTCATGGCTATGGAGTATGGTCCCTTAACTTAAAAAATATTTTTCATCGATTTAAGTCATGGCGAATTTTGCTCTCTAAGCGAAGTGATCCCAGCCGAGAGCCAAATAATGAACATGAACATCACATGAGCTTTTTGTTCATAAAATGAATGTATTTCGAGAGCCATTTAGCCCTGTTGGTAAGATTTTGTTTATGTCGGTATTTCATGATCACGCAACATCGTCCGTTATAATTTGAAGGTCGAAAACTTTTGAAAATCATTGAGTCACCCATAAGACCCATTCTCGATCCTAGAGCTGCAATCCTTTTGGTCAGCGCCGCAGATCGATCCGCGGTGAAAGGATCGCAGCTCTGGGAACAAGAATGCCGCAGACCACATACCAGTAATGGTCTGCTCATACGTAGTAGGGAACAGCGGTGAATTAAAAAAAAGAAAGAAACTTGTCGATTGATAAAAAAGATTACTTATCTCACCTGGTTGGATGTTGTCGTAAAACACCTTGATGTATTTATCTCGGTCGGGTCGGGACTGCTCGTGAATAAAGCCAATGGTGTGCATCATTTCATGAAGAACTGTACCCAGTCTCTCGCAGCCGTCACCAATGGAGATATCCTGTTTTCCACCTTGTCGACCCACAAGAGAGTAACACCTACACAGACAAAAAAAAAAAACGATTTTCAGTGTTGTGCGGCAAAGCAAAGTAAATTACCTAGCCAATAAATGGATAGCGTTCTGGTCACAGGGCCCCTCGTTTCCTTTAATCATGTGCTCAGTGTAACAAGGGATCGGAAGACTCACAGCGTTATGCCATGAATTCAGGGCACCAACAGGGTACATGTGCGTACAGCAGTTTAAAAACAGATTTGAGTCACCAAGCCAATTTCCCATTGCCCCTTTACCTCTGTTTCAAAGCGAGGCTAAGTGCGAAGCCATTGATTAAAAGATAAAGTTTCATTTGCGCTTAGTATCGTTTTGAAAATGAGAGTTTTTGGAACTCGGAAAAGGTCTATTGGACGCTTACCGCAACTTGTTAGTGGGCGATCTTTTTTGCCTATTCTTGATTTGCAACCATGTGACAAAGTGGCCATGTTGGTGGTCAAAACAATTCAATTATTCTTGAATAATTTACAAGAAAATGGAGTTTAGTTCCCAGAGGAGAGAAATGCTCTTGTTCTTCACTACCAACATGGCCGAGTGACGTCATGTCAAGCAGAACTTTCCACACTCGCAAGGACCATTATAGTTTATTACTCGGGCTCAAATTCTTTAGTATACTCACATGGAAGAATTTATTATAAATCTAACTCGATCCAAGACGATTTCTCTCTTTTTAAGCTCTTCTTCGCTCTCATGAAGCCTTACGTAACGTATACAGGTATACTTGTTGTATGCAGCGACGGCTTTACTTATACTGTCCATCTTCCAAGAATCTGAAAAAGTCAACGAGCGAAGGTGATTCTTAGAAGTAACAGCGCAACATAAATAGGTCAGGTAATCAACTTTCTGTAAACGGGTGGAGAGAGAAGCGACGACCGGAAATACGTCTGCGTTCACAGGCTACGGCGGCCCCAGCAATCGCTACCTTAGAGATATACGGCTAAAAATTTTACAAGTTTGCTCTTTCGGTTCCTACTAAAATACTTTTTCAAAATCAATTGTTTTCTTGTTAACAGAAAGTTGAGCTCCTGACAAGCTATTGAAAAAAGGTCTCTACTGCATGGAGGACTACTATCAAATAAGACATGGGATAAGATATCCCCCCTTCTAGGATTCTCCTAATATAATTCTCCAGCAAATGGTGACAAACAACACAAAAACTTCTTGTTAAAGCGTTTCAAGGTAAGTTGAGGGAAAGCATCTCAACGAGGGCAATAAAGAAATATAATTCGCTGCTATTAAAAACTTTTCTTACCTCTCTGTATCTCATCAGATAATGTGTATGGTACCCTTACAGTTCCATCGTCTGATGCGGGCCACAGGTATGACACATCGTTGATGGCATCTCGTTTATCAGACTCGCCCGTCACCCATGATCGCAAACGCTGATCCATCACTATATCTCCTTCAAAAAGATCTATAGTAGGGAAAATAAAAGAAAAATGAATAAATCTTTTTTAAATTTTCAAATAATGTAAAACTGACATTCACCAATCACTGCGAGCAATGGACGCGGATTAAAACAAGAGCCAATCAAAAGCATACATCAGAAGCAGGCATCAAGCGGGGGAAAACTCATATAAACGGGTTTCTCATTGGTTAAGAAATATGTCGCCAGATTTTACACCCAATCACAAAGCGTATCAATTCGAAACCAAGGCATTCACGAGCATTCATCAAAATGCTGGCGACACTCAATCGTAAACAGCTCAACTTCAAGGTCACACAAAAATAACTTCGAAACTACCAGTGGTGACAGTTGTCAAACAGGTTCATAAAAGAGCAGAACTTTGTTGCCCACCCCAATCCCGCTTAAGACAAATTCCTGGAATGATTACCTCCGTTCTTTGGCAAAAGTTTCTTTATTCTGGCCTTTCTTTGTTTTTCTTCCTCCTCCTTTAAAGCCAGATTATCCTCAGCTGTTCCCACACCATCAACAATTTGTTCTGCGAAGAAAACAATTATAAAGTGACAAAAACAGGGATTACAAATTGTTTAAATACAATTTCAACTAAATGAATACAATTTCGTTATTATACAGTATTTATGTCACAAAAGCTTCTTTTAAGTACAATTTTGAAGTGTCAAAACAATTATTTTAACTATTTGGGATAGGATTGAAAAAATCCTGACTCGCAGAAAACAGACTAGTTAGCTAGAAAGAAATGAAAGAGTAAAATGACAAATTTCTCTATTTGCAGCAATTTGCATTGACGTAGAAGGACGCTTTCGCTTATCGTCATCGTTATTGTTCTCGTTTTGTAGTTTTTTCTTTGTGCCTTCGCATTCATTTAATCTCTCACTAACCTTTCAACGTCTCATGCTGGCTATTTTCACGTAATTTATCAAAGCCGTTCTCTTCATTGCTGACGTCGTCTGTCATATATGGAGATTCTTCATCGTCTGTTTCTGCAGATTGAACAAGTCGTGATAAACGCTTACTTTAAAGAACGGTCCCCAAGAAACAGTTAGCTTTGCCCCCCGAGAAATACAATAGGGCCATTTATACGAGGAAAAATAAGACGCGTCTTACATAAGACGCGTCTTAAATAAGACGCAAACTGTACCATTTATACCAGGGTGTCTTATCTAAGACGAGAACAGCTCGTATAAATGGTTCGCGTCTTATTTCTGTTCTTGACTCGTTTTCAATGTGAATGTTGCCCGTAGCAACGGCAATCCAACGTGGCGCGCCAAAAATTAACGCATGCGTACTATGCGTTCGCGTCTTATTTAAGACGCGAGGGTCATTTATACGAAGTTTTTCTCGCCTTAGCTAAGACGCGTCTTATCTAAGAACAGGTGTTAAGGGCTGTTCTAAAATAAGACGCGTCTTAGCTAAGCCGCGTCTTATTTTAGACGAAATGTGCCGTTTATACGGAAAGTTCGCGTCTTATTTAAGACGCGTCCTATGTAAGACGCGTCTTATTTTTCCTCGTATAAATGGCCCTAATGTTTCCTAAAGTGGAACTGAGGGAAACATCGATATCTGAGGGAGAGGCAAAACTAACTAATTTCCCGAGGAAAAAAACGTCTACAAGTACATGCAGACGGCGACAGTTGCGAACAGTAACATTCGTGGGTAACAGCTCAATAGGGCCATTTATACGAGGAAAAATAAGACGCGTCTTAAATAAGACGCGAACTTTCCGTATAAACGGCACATTTCGTCTAAAATAAGACGCGGCTTAGCTAAGACGCGTCTTATTAGACAAGACATGCTTGTATAAATGGTACAGTTCGCGTCTTATTTAAGACGCGTCTTATTTTTCATCGTATAAATGGCCCTAATGTTACCCTCTGACATTAAAGGCTCAGAAAGTTTTGGCGTGAAACAGTCTTGTTAGATGCATGTGGCCTCAAAGCATCCTATGTGAGCGTGCGCGGATGGGGAAAAAATTTAGCTTCATAAAATGAATAAGTTATTCTAGCCAGCGTAACAAGCGTTTCCGCGCGAGTTGAGTTTGCTACGCAGGCTTAAGTTATTCGCCAGTTTTGAAAAGGACACGCTCACTAGCCATGAGAAAAACGTAAACATATATCAATCGCCCATCGACAAAAAAAACTATGAGCTTGCTGTAGTCTGAATGTAATCAGTTGTTTACCCGTATTTTCTCCTCTGGTGAGCTCACGTAATAACAGGTCATGAATGCTATCTCTTTTCATTTCTCCTTCGTCTTCTTCAACATTCTGGAATCTTCGCCTCTGCATTTCTGACAGCGTGCGTTTTTCAGCTCCTGTTGGGGCGAATAAGTTTTAACACTTCAGTGGGGAGCGATCAGCAGTGTCAATTCTCCTGGGGGGTACTGACGGGAATGAGAGGAAGAGGTAATTTTCTCACTTCCCCCTCGATCCCACGCTGCGTGAGATTCACGTCCGCGCGGAGATCATTCTCTTGAATCCACGCAAAGCACAAAATAGGTAAAAAAAAAAAAAAGATGCCGCTTTCTCATCTTGCCGAAATATTTAAAAAATTACCTTCAAATAGCAATTCAATTAAGAATAAACAGCGTTTAAAAATCAGTGCCGCAAGTAATTATCTTCATTTCTTGTAAGACGTTCATGAGTGGGCCTCTATTTGTAAAGGAAACGCAAAACTCAAAATCCTCAGGGAAAAACTTGATGATTTATTTCGATTACTGCAGAGAAAATCGCGAGAAAACTGAAAAAGTATTATACACCTTCAAGAAATTAAATAAAGGCGAAAACTCCGCTAACAGGGAGGTCACTCAAGTTCAAAGATTGAACAGTAAAAAAGGGTTTCGATAATCTAACTTTGTAGAAAAACCTTTCGCCGGAATCGAAAATTGATTTCATTTAATTCCCTTTAGAGGGTGCCGCTAAGAAGCAAAATAATTTACGTGAAAAATTATGGCATACCCGATGCCGTTGTTGATGAAATGAATTAGAAAAAATGCTTTAGACCAAATGATGAAGAAGCTTTATAACAGCGCGTTTTGAACGGGAAAAGATTCAAAAATACAATAAAGTCCGGACGTAGCGTCGTATTTGGTTTTACCCTAAGTGGTTGTGTTAATCTAATTTTGCAGGAAAAAGCCTTAAGGCTTAATATTAGCCACCTGGATTTAAGGGGAACTGTTCGTCACTTTCGGCCTAAATGAATTTCTTTGTTTCGCTTAGATGTTGTGGGTAAATCGATTTGTTTTTTGCTAATCACGGTGTTTATTTATCACACACCATGTGGTTTCTACGGCTATCATTGGTCTCACTTTAAATTCATGATTCTCGATTCAACGTAATTACAAAGTTTTTTGCAAACTTTTGAAGCAGGCAGCACTACAAGAAATTACCGTTTAATAAGTTTGAGCGTAGGAAAGTTGGAATTTTTTCGCGTTGGTCACCTTTTATTATCTAAACGGACGAAATAAGTTAAAGAGGCGAATGATGTTAATCACAAAATGCAGTGGTGTGCCTTATAGCATTTAATACTATTTCTTATCGGGTATAAAAACCGAAACACTCGAAGTTTCAGTTAGTACAATCACATATAAAAGGAAGTTTCTATTTTCACCAAGACACCTGTCAAAGTCTTGTTTTGTTGAGACGGATATGGAGGGAATTCCTCCAAAATAAAGAAGCAACCTATCAGGGCAGAAAGATTAAACAATGCTGCCATGTATGGTCCGCACAGGGTGTGAAAAAGTACTACATGTAGTCTCTCTGCTAATTCTGCATCTAGGCTGAAGAAGCTATCGACACAATTAGGAAAATTAGCCGTAGAAATCAAATCCAGAACATAGCTGCCGTAGTGTTTAAATTACTTCAAAATAAGTTTGTTCGGTTTATTTACCTCTCATTACGAAATTAAAATCCCTCAGCTAAACACGAAGATGTCTTTTTGTACACGAACAGCTCTTGATCATGGGCGATTAGCACAACAAGGTGGTTCTTAAACGTCTGAGTCCATGGATGAAATCCTCAAGTATAATCATTTAAATAAAAGCTCTTTGTACTGAGCAATGAGGTTCCGGGAAAAAAATAGAATCCTACACTCATGTACTCCGAACGTTCCCTGATTTAAAGAAGCGAAAAGAAGGCGCTGGCGGCAAACTCATGCCCTCAAGAGAGGATAGAAAACTAGCCACTCGAAATCTATCAGTGTTGAACCTTCCAGGCAAAACATAAAATAAATAAAATATCTCAAGATTATAGTGTCGTCTGGAAAAGTTTGTATTCCCATTTTATTTTGTTGACCATAGAATTTGTGAGCACCATCGAAAGAGAAATGAAACGCGGGCCAAAATAAGCTGTTTTGTAGAACAACAAAAGGTTTTATTTTTTGGATTATCGACAATCACAACCGAAACTGGACGGAGTACGTCTGTTCAGCAACAGATTACCCTGCTAGCAGAGTAGCAGCAGATATACCATTTGACATTTTGGCTTCGAGTCACAAAATATGTCTAAAAAACCGAAATTTAAACACGTAATTTTTTTTTTGTCGGACTTGGTTTCGACTTCCAGTTAAGAAGGATCAGTTGCGACTTACAGCGGGCGGTAAAATACAAAAATTAACAGTAAGTAAACCTTACTATTAATTTTATTAATTTTACGATCCGCAGCAGACACTGAGAGACAAAACAAAATACATGATCACTTATGAGTTGGTTGGTTGATTTACAATGTAATACAAGCTTTTTTTCTCGGTGATACAGCTTTCAGATCATTAAGCGACAAGAATACGTTTTTTCTTTCTTTCTATTTTTCTTTAAAATCTAAAACAAAACCTGTTTCAGATACAAGAAAACGAGTAAAAGAAAATTTGGATGTGCAAATAACAAGAATAAGAGTCGCGGTTCTCCGTCAAAAGAGTGCGCTCCCGGGAGAATGGACATCAGTTTGAACGGTACAATGTTAAAAACAGGATAAGGAAAATCGGTTTTCTGAGTCTAAGTTCGAAAAATCGCCGTTCGCGATTCCTCTGGGATTCCTCTGGGATTCCTCTGTATTAACAAAGTAAGATTATTTTTCAAAACAACAGCACGGTACGACAGCTGCATACAAAATGATGCAAATGAACTTCAACTCAAAACATTTCGCCTCTATTTCCTGTCTTAGCTACAAAATACTGCAAAGTAACTTAAAAGCGGGACAAAAGAGTATACGCAAGAATTCACTGGAGACTTAAACAGCTGTAGTGTTCAAAAATAAAAGTTTTTATGGACGGGAAGTGAAGATGGAACGACGAGATAAATCATGCGTAAAACTGATCGCTTGTAATGTCGTAAATTAAAAGACGAAAGTTCCCTTAAGGAAGTTCAAAAACCTAATTTTGCGGTGAGGAAAAAAACTGCAAAAAGTACAGAAGTAAATAATAGAAAATACGACAGCTTGTAGATGATTCAAAGCCACAAACTAGGGACGAAAGTGTGTCATATAACATCACTGCATCCCGAAATGTACTTGATGAACGCATAATGACTGATGAGTTATTTGCCTGTTTTACTGTTCGCGAATAATACAGAAAAGTATCGCAACATTAAAAGCTCTCACCTGTAAACTCCGCATAGCCATCATCGTAGTCATTTTCATCGTGAAATCCGTGTCCTGTGAATGACAGAGTTAATAATTAGTACTGGGCATGATCTCGAACAGACGCGTTTGAGTGGCTTCAACCAGAATACACCGATAACTTTACCTCGTTTAAACCCAAAAGCCTTTCCAAAACTGGCTTCACGCGTTAATACCGGCAACAAAACGCAAAAGAAACATGACAACACAAGCGATCCCTCAAAAAGTCTCCACATACTGCTCTCGATTTCTCCGAGTCAAACACTCTTCTAGCGCTCTGGGTTTTCAACCCTCTTCATCAAGACTTGAACGTCGATGCTAATTTTTGATTCGGGGTCATTTGCATAACAAACCAGTAAGACCAAGCATATCTGATGTGTAAATTACCCCTGTGTTTCATAGGAACACGTCAACCTTACAACTATTCGAATTTTCGGCCCCCATCTCTCTAAAGAGTCAGTGGCCTTCCCTATGTTCTCGCTTCGGTCCGGTATGATTTTTTTCTTCCCCAAAAAGTACATTTTTATTTTCAAGAGGTGGAAGATCCAAAAAGTCTTTTTTGCAGTCGTCTTTTGAGAAATCACGAAAGATAAAGCGAGCGTAAATGTGGCAAGAACCAACTTTCTGTTGTGTTACAACAGATCACATTAGTCAGTTTTGGCGATAGAATACTGACCATTTTTTGACCTTACATTAATGTTACGAGCAGAAATTCAACGACACTTCACTTAACTGACGTATTTTGAAAATGATTTGTTGTTTTTTTTTACAGTTTGTCGCTGTCATTTCTTTTCCTTTCGAGATTTCAGCCAGGTTAATTTATTTTCAAAATATTACATATGATCTTTTGAAATTTAAAACAAATGCCGGATAACGATCAACCACGAAAGGGTTAATACCTAAAATTGCTCGTACCTTAAATTAAACTCTCGTGAAAACCGAGGGAAACAAATTATAATACTGCAGCTTATTATCAGCTGAAAATACAATAGCTGTCAGAAAATAAAACATTTATTATTTTCTTTCCAAACAAGTAACGCTTTTTTGTTGGCAGAAAAAATACACCATTTCTTTTTGTAAAGAGTAGAAAAGATTACAAAACCGCCTTCTTAGCTTTTAAAAAATATGCTAATCAAATGCTAAATTTTATCTTCGATAACCCTAGCCTATATTTAGAAAACCACTTACTTAAAAAATACAGAAGAGGAAAAAAATCCCTATTAAAGGCTGGTTTAAGAATCTGAAGAATATCACGGCCGGTTACGGATTTACGTAACATTGAAACAAGTGCTAGAAATCGCAAAGCTGTTCTAAGTAATTTTTCTAAATTAAGCAAGAAGATAAAATATTCCGAAAGTACTTGTCTTTCTTTACAATATTCTTTACGATATTACTGATTGCTTTATTTAGTCAGATGTCTTTTGATTGATAAAGTTCCTCAGCTCTCATTCATTCCTGTTTCTGTCACAACCAACGGTCTCTTAAGTTACCGCTAGGGAAGCGAAACAGCTTTATAGCTGTAGACTGTAAGTGATGATATTACCGTATCCTGGGCTTTTCGTGCCGAATACAAAAATTTATATTATACTGTTTGCAGCGCGAGCGTGTTCCCTTGCCGTATTACAAGTAAACCGATTAAAATGTGATATATAAGCATTATATTTAAAATCAAAGCTTTAAATGATTCCTTCTCCAAACGTTTTAACTGCCGTGGCCCTATTAATTATAAGACGCTGTTGAATCTTGGTCTTTTACTAATTTGTTCTCTCCGAAATATCATGAAAATTAACAAAATGAATTGTGGGTGTTGAATTGTAAATTCAACTGACTAATATTTCTAGAAAGGGTAGAACCATGGAAGATTTAAGGCAGATTACCGGGTGGAATCGCTTTTAATACCTTAAAAAGTGGTCCGTCACAAATGATCTTAATTTCAACTTCTGTATTGATAGCGACTATAATATTTAATCCTTTTCCAGTAAATACAAGGTTCTTATATAGCTCAAAAAAGTGTTCTCTATAACGCATCTATCAGTCGGATATATGAAATAACCGCTGAGAAATAAACCTTCTTCTGACTTCAAATTAGAAATCTTTTATCTTCAACAAATTTGCCAGTTCTTAATTAAAATGTTTGCCGCTCAACATGTATTTAATCGTTTCTTATTGCATATTCAGGAATCGCATCAACATAACCAGATGTATAGCTTTTTAATACCCTCAGGCAATTTTACTACAGTCATTATCACCTGGCCTTGACGTTAGTAACTTAGAAGGAAAAGTCATAGAATCAACCACAACACTCCAGACAATACGCGGTATGCCTTAGGGGAGATTTTACAGACTGTACTTTTTTTCCTTTAATGACCATTTTCTGCATCATAAAAGGCAAAATCTCCTCATATTAACCTCGGTTTCAGTTCTATCCAATTAGGCCCCGCACGTGATCGCCGCCTCGTTCTCAAGGATATACCACGCACTTTCATTCCCTCCCCCACCACCAACTCTTACGTTCAAGGTTTTCAATCGCATGACGCACTTTCTCGTTTTCTCCCTATTCAATTCTGCACATGCCTGCCGGAAAATCTAGCTCACCATACACAATAAAAAAATACTGAAAGACATATTGAAAAGCCTCGTCTTGTAGGCCATCAGCCAAAGAAAATTGCGCTATTCTAATTCAAAGAAAACCTTCATGGTTGCAAAACCGAGTAACGACAATCAGACTTGAGTCAGTCAAGCCAGTTAAACACTTTCGTTCCAGGATCCCAATTATTAACACAGAATCGAAACCCATGACATAAAATACAACAGAAATCTTACCTTGTCTTAAATAAGAACGAGGAAAGTATCTAAAACTAATCGCCAGCGGAAGAGACGAAGAAACCAAACACAAAAGAAGAATGTGAACGGTATTCATCAAACCCTAGCTGTGACTTCTGTGGCCTCACTTGGAACGACGTCGGTTTATCCCAGCCTGCGGTATTCTAAGAGATCTTCAGCTCACTGAGCTGTCTGTTTTGCGTACCGTGAAACGATCTGTCTTTAAATCAAACAGTCTGTACGTTCTTTAACTGTGAAAAAGGGTCGATCCTAAATGCCTTTTTGCGTGACAGTTTGAAATCCAATATAACTCTGACGTCTCGCAGAATACGGGCGGGTGTCAAATAGCTCCCTTAAGCAAATGCTGTCGGACAAAGTAAAGAAGCCAAAACCAACTTATTTCTTCCTTCAGTAAACGGCAAAGACGAACAGCAAAATGTAGCTATTTGGCTGTCCTTTAATCAGTATAATTCACTTTCTAGAATTTTATACAAAAGTGAAATCCTATTGTAAAATTCCGAGAATGAAAGCAGTCCATCCCTCGCCGTATTTCCGGGAAAAATAAGCGCCCTAAAAAAATAATATATATAACTTGGATGCCACAGAGGCTTAGCATACAAGAGTAAGCTGAGGTAGACGTACAGACCCCAAAGCTAACTACAGTATGTAATAATCTCCCAAGTAAAATAGCTACTCGATATTTCTTTCTGGATGCTGTAGTGTCATTTCGGGAACCTTGTTCTTTCTTATCTGTTTGTTAACATTTTCCAAATCAAGGCATAAATTGTTGAGCACAAATCAGTGAAGCTGAGCGTGGCCCGAAAAATCTCAAAGACTGATAAGACTAAAAATAAAAGTTAGCGCGTGGAAGTATTGGGCCCAACAAAGAACGGCGCGCGCGAGGGAGACACGCGCGCCACGTTTTTCCTGCGCGTTATTAGTGAGCTTAAGCAAAGGCGTTTTTGAGCCACGGACGTCAACCGGAAGTGAGGACTTTTCCCTCTTAATATGCCTTGATGATATAAAATTTGTATTGCTCAGCTTCTTTACTATTATAGTGACGATCTGACTGAAAATTTGGGCAAAACAATCGTCCAAAAATAAAAAAGGGCCACTTCCGGTTGACGTGCGTCGCTCAAAAACGTCGTTGCTTAAGTTCCCTATACTAATTCCAAGCGCCTGCTACGCGGGCTAACAAAAGGCGAAGAGAAAAACAAAACAAATTAAGAAGCAGAGGGGACAAAAGTAATAGCTGAAAATCATCTATGTCACCTCTGCCTTAACCGTTTTCAGATAGCGTTTTTCAAAATAAACTGCAGTGTTTTCCGGATTTGGCCAGTCTCAAGTAACTCATGCCTGCCTTCTGTTATACACTTTCCTTCGACCTAGAAGGGAGAAATACACCTGGCAATACTCTGATAATTATAAAAGAGGACTCTTATTCAAATCACCCTTGAGGAGACGGGATAGACTGCGTACCTCATAAAACTGGTTTTTGCCTTACGATCTTCATCTCGAATCTACGGCCTCCGGTGCTTTACCTTTAGAATCAGTGACTGTAAAGATGACCTTAGGCCGGGGAGAGCTTTTCATACGGCTGTGCTTTACACAGTTAGGTTTGCAAAGAGACAGGCCGGCCGGGCTGAGGTGTCTGTCTAGACAGAGCTATGTGTCTATCAATTTATTATGGTACGTTTAATACGCGGGTTTATTTTTTAGGCTCGATTGCCAGCCGTCTGAGGAAGTCAGGTATGCAACCTGATCACGGTCGCAAAAAACGGTCGGTAACATACGTTACGAGCAATATCATTTTTTGAAGGCCCAGTCGGTTTCTTAAACCAGTAAACTCAAAGAACCAACCCTTAAACTTGTGGCTGTTTCTCCACTTGGGGAAAAGAAACTGACGATTACGATGACGATGATGACGACGATAATGATGAGATGAAACTCATAAAGGATGAAACAACACCTTTTTTACTTAAAGTTATTGTAAAATTACATGCCTGGTGTGCAATACTTTATTAACCTTCAAGACATCGATTGATGTCACTGAAAACAATCCAGTTATAAATAAGATTGAGCTGGAGCGGCTCCTGGACTGAAATACTATTTACATTCCGTAGATGGCTATTCAGAGTAAGTTTCCCTCCTTACTAATGACGTAATGTCATGCAGATAATGCATATTTTCGGCTCAAATTTCTCTGTGTCAACTGCTTGAGCCAAATCTCCACGGTGGCTAACTCTAGCTTCATATTCCTGCGCGTATCTCCAGCCAGGCTGTGTAGCGCGAAACGAATAAGACTTTATTTGTATTAATGTACATTGATACTTTATTCATACGGAGACCAAAGAGACGACCGTGTAAGAATGTATCTAATGGATCTAGTGTTGCAGGTCTCCGTACTCTGATGAAGGTACTGGCCAACTTGTCTTTTGGTCTTTTCAGGCCAATTGAACAGTCTGTATGAATAGGTGTCTATAGTATAGTGGCATAACTGTCAGGCCCACGGTAGAAAAGGAGGTAACATGAAATCTGATATCTCTGGGACCAAGTGAACTGTACGTAGACTAGATAACCACAGGTGCCTTGAGGAATTATTTTGACTGTCCTTTGCGCGTGACCGCAGAGTCGACAGTTTTCGAATTCACCGTTGACCAAACATTATAATTTTCATCAGTTTCACTTCCGCTATATCACCCCTTCACGCACAGCACCTGTTTGAGCCTGTGAACAACATCTAAGAGGTCACTCTGCGCTGCCATGACGTCATCGATGTCCTTGTAAGCCATTGGTGTTTCATCGATGACGCCAGCGTCCTTTCGACATTCCACGCCCTCTGTTGCACGCACGTGATCTTCAATTGAAAACATTTTCCTGGCTTTGGTTCGCGACATGGTCCTCCCAGCTCCGTGACTACAACTGAGGAGAAAATTACCACAAAAGAGAATGATTAAGCATTCAAACTCCTATTATAGAGTTGGCAGGTAAAACGTTAACTGAGGTTGCAAATAAGTCGACTACAGACAAAGCGTATTCGCTGAAGTTGATTGACCAAGAATCGAATCTGAGGGTGGTGTTGGTGACGACAGCGACGACGATGATGATGGTGACGACGAAGATAATATGGATGGCTATGATGATGATGATGATGATGATGATGATTATGATGATAATGATGATGAAGTTGATGATATTAGTGCTATTATTTATTTTAAAAACTCACGACGCGCTTTGCTTACGATAAAAAGCCAAAATTCAGTCGTCAGTTAGACAACCGCCTACCTGTGAAATGAGTCAGGGTTTCCCTTGCCTCTGACGATGTAGGATCGTGCTCCCATGGACCCTGGTATGATGCCCAATTCACCATCACGAGCAGAAACCTTATGGGAACAATCATCATCATCAGTATCATAATAATAATAATAATAATAATAATAATAATAATAATAATAATAATAATAATAATAATAATGATAATAATATAATATTAATATTAATAATATCACTGACATACTAGACCACAAAGCAAATACAGTGGAACCTCTATATAACAAAGTCCTTGGTATAACGAACGATTTTCTTTACTCCAGTCATAGCAAGATATATGAAAAAGAACCTCGATACAGCGAACACATTTGCCAGTCTCCTGGTCCTTCGTTAAATCGAGGTTCCACTGTAGTATAAATATTTTTTAACAAGGCGAGTCCTTGTGTTAAAAGGACTAGACCGTGCGTGCACCAACAAGAGATGCAAGTACCCTGGTTCAAAAGGTCGAAAAAAGTAACTGAATGACATGTCTGAAATCATGGAGTAGGTGACATAATCATGGTATTTCAAAATTTGAATTAACAATAACCATAGCACAAGAAGAAAAACACAAGCGTATCCCAAAAAACCAGGAGCCCATCAAATGGGCTCCTGAAAAAACTGAATAAATGCAGGCAGAAAATTCATAACATAGGTTCTTTTATTTTTTGGCCTGCTTTTGGCTTTGGTTTTTTCTTTATTTGTTTTGCTAACAAAACTTTTTTGTGGACATTCAACTGAACCAACAGAAAAAGGACTTGTTAAGTATTTTATAAAACACCAAATTTTAGCATCTTTGTTACTTACTGCCCCTTTTCTTGTAAGAAACACTTCTTTTCCAAAATGCATCTCTAAATTCACATAGTTATGGTGGCAGTTAACAGCCTTGCTAAATGGGTCCACTTCAAATTGTGGAATACTGCTGCAAGAGTGAGCTGCCTTCAGAACACTTGACATCATAATATCACGGTTTACACGGGCAAACTTCTGTGCCCATGTCACCGCAAACACATAATCCTCAAAATTCTTTGTGCCCTCTTTGAGGTAGGCTAGATCTTTATCAACCTATTCAACAAAAACAGAATAATCTTCACTAAATTAATGTTGTTGATAGTTTATCTACTATTCTACAGAATTTTCCTTGGTTTTTGTAGAAACAGAACGATGATGAAGTGAACCTAAAAACAGTGTCCCACAGGCTTTAGTCTGTAACAGTACAGCTCAGAGCTAAGCAAGCGATACAAACCAAACGAACTATATTCTCCTTAAAATGTTCCAAAAAGCGCATTTTTAAAATGCACTTTGTTTGGTTATTCACTATCACACATTTTTGCCTCATAAGGCTTCTATAATTAACCCTGAAGGAGTGAAAAGTGTTAACCCTTGATCAGCCTGAAGGGTTAACAGCAACAAATTTCTTCTTATAAAATTTTTGCTCAATCGGTATATATCGATAATGCATGGACAACAGTGGGAAGAACATGTGTTTCAGGTCAGCATTACACCCCAACTAGTAAACGATCAAACACTTTTGTCCAACATTAAGTTGGAAGAGCATGTATGACTATTTAAACAGTTCCCGTAACTTTGCAATCAAATGGCCAAACAGCAGCCAAAAGCAACCACAACCACAACCACATACACACAACAATTTAGCATTCATGTACCTTAACTCGTTTGTCCAGTTTCATCATATCATTCTTGGCAAGTTCAATGTACACGGTTCCAATTCTGTTGCCAGGACCACGTGACCCAGAATGTAACATAAACCAAACTCTATCTTCTTCGTCAAGACACGCCTACCAGGAAACAGAGATTACTGACAGGAGATGAATATAAGCTAATAAAGCCAACCCTTATCAGAAACGTAATTAAAAATGATTACTACTTGTCATTTCCTTGTGTTCATTATAAACTTGATATCAAAAACACTTCTGCTCATTTATTGAATAGACTAGACCCTTCCAAGTTTTTTTATCCAACTTTAACATGGACAAGTTAGGGAAAATTCATCAACTCCGCCAGAAAGAGCGCCTTTAAATTAGTAAAATTACCAACTTTGAAAGTGATTTGTTGAAAAGTAAACAACATATAGCTCCTCAAAGTCGCGAAATTTTATAGACGTTTGTATGGGGGGGGGGGGGGGACCCCGCCCCCCCCCCCCCCATACAAACATCGTTTATTTTTTGAAATTTTGGGGGGTTATTTTTTTCCTCATTTAAAACATTTGCCCCTAAACTTTGGAATTTTTACAAATACATTTTAAGCAACTTTTCCCTTTGGTGCCGATGAAATTTTCCTTTCCTTGTCCAATACAAAAATTGAAAAAAATCCACACCCCCCGAAAAAAAGGATCTATTTAAATAAAAAAAACCACCTATTTTAAAGGTGTTTTTTAAAAAAAAAAAAACAATATCCCCCCCAAGGGTGGAGATTTTTTAAGGGGTTTTTTTGGGGGGGGGGGGGGGACACCGACCCCCACCCCACCATACAAACATCTGTTAATTTTTGCAACTTTGCGGAGCTATATCTTTGCTCACTTAAGACATATTGCCATCAAACTTGGCAATTTTACTAATACATTTTAAGGCAATCTTCCCTGTAGTGCCGATGGAATTTTCCCTTACTTGTCCAAGTCAAAAGTTGAAAAAACAGTGAAAGGGTCTATGCAGGTGTAAAATACCTCACAACAGGTCAAAATTTCTATAAAAAAAATTGCCAAAGCAGGGACTGTAACAAAACCCATCATCAATAAAGTAAAACCACATCCCATACTCACATTACCTCAATAAAGTGGTTTCCAGTGCCTAATGTTCCAAGATGATTCATGTTATTCTGTGCCTTGGCCATCGGTTGCCGACTACAGATGTATTCATACTCTTTCTTGAGTTTGTCCCACTCTGTTACAACGAACTGTGGAATGTCACTTGACTTCCATGCACCAACATCACCCTTGCGACCCTAAAAATAATAATCTCATTATTAACTTTGTCATCATCATCATCATCATCATGATTATTTTCATTTTTGCACTGACCTATACATTTTTTTATCATTCTTAGACTAATGAGTTAATAATACATGTTCCATTCTATTTGCCACTATCACCTATCATGATCAGTCGAGTGTGCATGCTAGCTCCTGCTAAGTTCCATGACAATTGGGTGGCAAATCAAAGACCAAGTGAGAGACTTCATTTATAGAGGAAGACAGGTAATAGCGCACATCAGTGACCTGTGACCCTCATTGTTCTTGTGATACTTTGTTGAAGTCTTGATTTATTATTTTTTCTTACTCTCATTAAAAAATATATATTTGTTAACTTTTCTTGATATTTTCTGCAATAAATGATTTCACAGTATCATTTCCGGCACCAAAGGTTACAGACCGAATGAGTCCGCCCATGTGGTACAGCCTGTTCAATAGCTGTACGAAGGTTCTTCAAGGAATCTGGCAGCTGATTTGCTGTTAGTGTTGTCCTTACTGCCATCATTCCACATCCAATGTCCTGTGTAATATATTGCATCTTTTTGTTAGGANGTCCGCCCATGTGGTACAGCCTGTTCAATAGCTGTACGAAGGTTCTTCAAGGAATCTGGCAGCTGATTTGCTGTTAGTGTTGTCCTTACTGCCATCATTCCACATCCAATGTCCTGTGTAATATATTGCATCTTTTTGTTAGGAAAAGATTGAGCTCTGGTGGGAAAATTCAACAGACATTTATTTTTGAGCAATTTACTCAAAAATGGGCAACATACAGCTCAGAGAGAATGATGCAAGAGCCTGTGGTATGATGTCATACACCACAACCTGGAATCTTTTACTTATAGATACAGTGGCACTGAAGTGAGTGGACACCCTTTGGATGCGAAAAAGGTGTCTGGACACTTAAGGGAATATAAAGATACAGAGTTTGTATTGGAGTTGACAAAAACAGGGTTTTGTGAAGGCAGCCTTAAGTACAATAGAGCTGTCCAATCTGCTTACGAGAGTGTCCATTAGAAGAGCTAATCCACTGTATTTAACAAAAATAACTTCTTGGCGTTTTTACTATGTAACATCAACTATTAAGACAGGAAGGGGGGAATTTGAGCAACATTCTTCACTGCCATAAAATTATGGAAATTTGAACAACTTCAGCTTTGTTCAAGTGACTGGCCAATGTTGATCTTTAAATTGAACAGGACTTTTCTCTTAAATGATCTCACAAGAAAGAATCATACCATATCTACATAATTAAACACCACAGTGTTAATATTTCCGTTGGATACGGCATTTATTCCAGGGTGGCATTTTTGGGTATTTTAGCTTCCATCTGCAGCATTTATCAAGGGCGGCATATAATTGAGTGAATACGGTATTTATTACAGGACAAAAATGACAGTTGTCAAATCTAGACCATACCACTCCGACAGCAGAGGGGATGATAGCACCCACAGTCGGAACCACACATCCCACACAAGCACCCTTCCCAAGATGCATATCAGGCATAGCAGCTACATGGGAATGGACAATGGGCAATTTTGCCAAAGAAAGAAGTTGATCCGTTGCATCTTTCTCAACTGGAACTCCCTTGATCCATGCTTTTACTGGTACACCTTTCTACAAAAAATATAGTAAAGAATATTATAAAAAAGGCCCTAAAGAACTTTACAAATTAAATCCAGGAAAGATCCAGTCAACATGAGTCGACAACGCTTAGTTTCCCACTGTTGAGATCGATATGAAATCATGGACGAATGCATTTAAAAAGCAAAATTATATGCTTTACTTACGTTCTTTTCATCGCCGAGAATAATGTAAGAAAAACTTCTATTTATAATCTTTCTCAGATAAATCCCTCGCTGCCCAGGAGAGTAGTAGAGCAGCCTCCATTGGAACATGGCGATCGGCATACAAACCAAAACACTGTGTCCCAGTCCTCAACAGGCCATGGGAGAGTGAAGGGGTGGGGAGGGTGAGAAATACCATTCTTAAGAGCACTTACTGAGATGAGCCAGTTAAATTAATTTCATAGGAGCACTTCATGGATTTTTGCAGCGAAGTGCATAATATGCAGTTTTTCCCAAACAGCCCCTAGGCATTCCTCTATTTCAGATTTTGTGAGTCAACAATTAATGGTGTTTTCAGCTACAAAAGGATTGAAAAAAGTCTGTATCCCCATTCTGAGTGCATTTTGTAACAAATTTTTTATTTTACGCGAAGTGCTCACAAGCAGATAAAAAACAGGACAAAAGAGACTTGTTTAGAAAGAGAAAGGTAAATACTCTCGTAAATTAACGAATGTATTGAGGGGTTATTAATACAAAAGAGAAGCGAGCGGTAGATATATTAATTATTTGCCTGGCTCCTACTTGTAGGCTCGATTATCAGCCGCTGTTCGGGAAATGAGCCCACGCTCCTCCGTGAAGGACTCAGAGAGTGGTGGAAATCAAGCCTAACCTACTTGCAGACCACAAAATTTGACAAACCATTTTCATGCCCAAGCCTCAATAAACATTGACCATCACTAACTTGCTACTCATTTTGATTTTCATACCCAGCCTCAATTGACACATTTTTAAAACCAAGACAGCTCAAGAACCATAATCATGTTTTGATTTCTACCCCAATGCTTTGGCCAAGCAACTTACTAATCATTTTCTCTAGGGTTTCTGCCTGCTTTGTAGGCAAAAAAAGAGCTAAGTTTCCTTAAACAATAGACCAAATAAATAGACCTTTATTTAGCAACTTAAAAGTAAACAGTCATCTGCATTTTGTAAATTTTGTTGGAAAACATTTTAAAGAATCAGCTAAAACTATTATAAACTGCTGTTTCAAGCTCAGCATGGTAAACAATTTTATTATCTTTATTATTTTTTCCTAGACATGCTAGTGTTTGGTAAAATGCCAGACACGCCCAGACCTTACTTAAAAACTGAACACTTTGACACAAAAAAAACTTCAGAAATCTGATACTTAAAAAAATTAACATGAAATTGAGACTATCAAAGTTTCAAAAATTTTGAGCAAAAAGTTTCCAGGACTCTTAGAGGTGAATTCCTGATTTGGTTTTGCATGAGAGCAAATATGATAATAATAATATTATCAAAGCCTTTCTTTGTTGTCATCTGCCTCAACAATGGAAATGCTCGCCTTCATGATCATGCTCAACCTCACCCAATAATAGCGTAGATGTTGCTGGGGATTATCTCTAGGAAAATATTTGTAGACTCAAAAGCACTCCACAAGCTGGTCAAGTCATCTGTGTTCAACAACCTGGTTATCTACCAAAGGTGGGTACTCCGGATATCAAGTGACGTTGATGATTGAATGGGCGCAAAAATCAAAACCCAAAAAAATCCCATGCTGAATTTCGAAGCCTTAAAAATTTCCACAAAGCTAAATAAGTTTGGTCGTACTTTATTCGCAGAACTACATGGCCAGGATACATAGGCACTATGATGAATCTTCAGACTGTTTTGAATACCTAAAAAATTCCCCACTTAGCTCATGCCATGCAAAAACATTCTTGCCAAATTTTCCTACCCAAAAAAATCCTGGCATTGAAAATTTCAAACCCAAAAGAGGCACTGATAATCTCAGTCACTTGAAATCTGGAGTACCCCCTTGGGGTTATCTTATAGTCTCCATATTGTTCTCTTATGATACTAACATCTATGTGTAATCTTTAAAGTTGCAACTGAGTAATTCCTGGGATTTTGTTATATCTGCAATAATAATTATTGAAGAAAATAATCCTGTGGTAATTTCTTTTTGCATTTGTTGTATCACCATGTTAAAAGACGAAGGGCAACATTCATGACTCTGACACCCAACACAGAGGATAGAATGTGACCGAGGTCATCCTGTGCTGTAAAACCGTTACTGTTCACAACATGTCTGCCATTAGCTAGTCATCATCAGATTCCTCTCCAGGTTGCCTTATCAAATTTCTCACATTTAGAAGATCAACTAACTTGTTGACATCATTGCCGCAAGCTAAATCATTGATATCTGACGGCATTCTGCTGAAGTGAGAAGGATTGGGCTGCACCCCTCCATCACTTGTTACATACTTGAAAACACCATGAAACTTATCATCATTATAAGTGATGCAAAGGGCAGGGTCTTTGAGTTCCTCCCATGTGAAAAGTAGAGGGTCTGTTTGTGCGCCAAAAGGATTAAAGTCAACTAGCAAAATTTTCTGTGGTGAATACCGGTAGACATCAAATGTAACAGAACTGTCAGGAAATTTGTAAGCTACTTTCTTTCTAAAAAAGTTTGCTATATCACTGCAAATGTCTGTCTCATTTTGTGCAATAAAGTCATAGCAACTTGCTGTGTCTCTTTGGGATATTGCAACCAGGTTGTTGTCCTTGACAAAGCATCTGAATTCTATCCCTGGATTTATATCCTTCCATTTGCGAAGTACCAGCTCAAAACCATCAGTCATTTCACCTTCTCCATCATCACAATGTTTGAAAGAGTCAAAAAGGATGTTAGAAATTTTGTCAGAGCTTTTGAGCAGAAGATAAATATCATTTGGAGATTGGCATTTCAGTGTGCCATCAAATGAGATCCAGGACGCATCTAGAGGGGAACTCCAATTCAATTTGGGAAAAACAGTGCCTTCCAAATCAACAATAGCTTCTCTGATTGCAGAATCCACCTCATTGAACTCCGGAGCACTGATTGCTTGTTCGTTTGGATCTTCATCCAAAGACAGCCATTCTTCTGAATCACTCTCAGCTTCCGCCCCAGATACTGCTGACACAGGTTCTCCGGGTAAGACCACATTATCAGCTTTCAGATAATCAACGAACTCTTTAGGAAGTGGAATTACCCGGCTTCTAATGGTGATATTTTTAAACTTTGGGTACCACGCTGAAAAGTTACAATTTAACACGTGTTCTCGTTTCATTTTTAAGCTCACGATTAGCTTAGGAAGAAATTCACTTTCACTTCACATTAATTATGTCTTCAGCGATTTTTTTTCAACGAAATGTCGTTCGATTTCAAAATGTTTTAACAACATGTGGAACAACATGTGTTGTTTCATCACCGTCGTGGTACACGAGTCATTATCGATTTTACGATCTTGCTAACGTCACGCAATTGATTGACTTGTCGGCGCGCGAAGCAAAAGCAAACAACGCAAGAGCTTTTGGGTAACTTCATTGTCTTTTTCTTGATGGCCCGTATAACAACAACATGGCGGCGACCATGAAATGGAAGCGTGTGACAAATTCTACTGGCCCCGTGCCTCGACCAAGGCATGGACATCGTGCTGTAGCAATAAGAGAACTGATGGTTGTCTTTGGAGGAGGAAATGAAGGAATCGTGGACGAATTACATGTCTATAACACAGGTAACGCAGTTTGCGTGGGAGCGAGAAACATGGCGGCCTCTATGTGCTTGGTCTTCGCGCCAGAGTTTTCCCGATGCTGTTTTCAGCCGCTGACGCTCATACTAAGCGTGATGTGTTCTTCACATTAATCAAAATGTTTTATTTACTTTTTTAGCGACAAATCAATGGTTTGTCCCCGCGGTTCGCGGAGATGTTCCTCCGGGATGTGCGGCGTACGGTTTTATTGCGGATGGCACTCGACTAATTACATTCGGTGGTATGGTTGAATACGGGCGCTACTCTAATGAGGTAAATTTTCGCTATTAAGTATTTTTTATCTGTGCGTGAATATTGTGAAACAGTTTTTGTAGACGTAGCTTAAATCATTTATTTATGCGGCACCTCTTAAGGTTGACGAAAGGGTACACTACGTAACCCTTACGTTGTTTTTTGTTATTATTTTCCCCTGAGAAAAATTCTCCTTGGCCATTTCCGCAGATAATGAGGTCGAGGACTTTTCTTTGTGAAGATAAGTGTGTAATTGATATTGTTTAGAATGCGTTAAATCGGAGCCGAACCTTGATATAGCTTTAAAACGAGTGTTTTGCGTCTGATATATGCGTAGGCGTAAATCAAAGCAATTTTCGTACAGTCTTGCATATTCACATGTTTTGTATGTTTACACTTCGTTGCGTCGAGCAGTAATCAAACTGTCCTCCAATATACGACGTGAAATAGCACTATTTAGCTTTTTCTTGAAGTTCAAATGTCTGAGAGAACACTGAGCCAGTTTGCTTTTATAATTCAGTTCAAAGATTTTGTAAACTATTGTCTGGAATTTTTGAAATTTTTTTGAGTGTCTTGCAATATATTTCGTAAAAAATATTGTAATCGTAATATCTCTTCAACATTTTTTTACAAAAGGAAATGTTTTTGTGCATTTAACTAGAGTGAGAACAATCATGTCTACATCAGCTTTAATTCGGTATGGTATTTTTTTTGTTTCAGGAAATTTTATACCCACTATATCAATCTTTTTTAGTCAACAAAATATTTTCTGAAAGTTGATCCAAGAAGAAAAACATTGAATTTAAGTATTTTTCTTAATTCATTTTTGTTATGTTATTGAGTTGAATAACATGTTATTTTTCATGTGCAATTTTGTGGCAAAAAATCTCTTTGTGAGAAAGTAATTTGAGGCTTGATCCTTCTTGGAGCTATATTATAAAGTTAAATGGTTTGCATTGACAAAAGCTTAAAATTTACGTGCACAAAAGGCTATTTAATGGTCCTTTGTGCATTTGATTATTTTTCAAGAAGCTGGTTATTTTCTCCTAGGGGGCTCAAATAATGGTGTGATTGTTGCAATGTATTATCTACTCAAAAGGTTCCTTTCAACTAAGTTTATACCACTGTTAAAGTGAACATGTGTAAAGAGAGAAAAATCAGATAAAATAGTTTTTTTTCCTAAAAGCTTTTAAGGAAGAATGTGGTTGCTTAATGATATTCTTGTGAATAAGTAAAATTCATGTCAAGTTTGTGTATCTTGTGTCAGCATCATAACCCAATTATTCTAAGATACCTGCAGGCACAAAGACATTTACACCAAAAAATATTTATGATTTTCTTTTGGTGTAAGTGAAAATCCTTAATAGTGTCAATTCAGATCTAGATGAATTATTTTTCTTGTTTTTAGTTCAGCCATAAATCACACATACAGCTATACTTCCTTGAGTGATAGATTCTTACAAGTTAAAAAATATTTACTTGGAAAGTTCAGAGATTAAAACCCAATCATGATTTTCCTTCCCTTGATTCTGCGCTTTTCTCATTTTCAACACAAAATAAATTTTGGTTCTCATGATGGCAAAAGACATATAAATGATGAAATTGAAAATTCATTAATTTGTGGCTGGCCTATCTACATTCTAGGGATATAAAACAGACAGGTGATCTTTATCACCCAGCTAAAAGGATTCAACTGGTAATAAAAAATATAAATATCAGTACTGTTCATATATTCAACATTCTAGGGATATAAAACAGACAGGTTATCTTTATCACCCAGCTAAAAGGATTCAACTAGTAAAAAAATAAATATCAGTACTGTTCATTTATTATTTATGAAATAAAAGTGTAACATTATTTCAGTTGTTATCATTAAGTCCTTTTATAAGTTAACCAGAATAAAAATTCACCCTATAGTCAACTTGTTTTTACATTTTAAGTTTGTTGGCTTAAAAGCTCAATATTTAGTAACATCCATCTAGAAATTTGGAATTTTTTGGCAATTTTTCTTGCAATGTGTCATTATTCTTGAAATGTTGTAACAGTAGCTGCTTACAATTCAGGTTATGTTTACAAAAGCTATCACATGGATTTTAATGAACTTTATGAATGGAAAAGTAAATGCTTATAATTGCAGATATATAAGGAGAGCCCACTTCAGTCAAGTACAAGATTTGATCATACCCTGAGAACAGTGCAGAGAATCATTTGCCAATTTGCTATCGATTGCACAATATTTTTTTATAAGAGACTTCCATTATTATTTATGACTCATAGAGTTGTGTGTAAAAGCAGCTGACTAATATTACAAGCTAACTTGAAAAACGTTTGTCTTTACAGGATTTGTTGTGGTTCAATTTATTTTAACCATGGTTTAAATTTTATTTTCCTTTGTTTGTAACTCATTATCACCCCCCTGGATAAGCACTGGTCTCCCAAAAGGTCTCCTGGGCAGACCAACACTCAGTCTTTAAATAACTGAGAAGAAAGTGCTTTCTTAGTAATATATCAGCAAATTGTTGGAATTTCTGGTCTTCTCAGCTAATAAAGGCATGATAAACTGTAGGGTCAGTCTTACGACACTTGCTCACAAATTAATTTCTGTGGGACATTATTTTAAGAGCTAACACACTGTTCATAAAAGGTAGGGGATGTATCAGTACTCCCCAGAGTGGTGGTCTATTTCAACTTCTCAGTCACATTATGGGGTATTCATAACTCATTGCTTCATTGAAAGTGCACCATAAGGAGGACTCTGGCAGAAGTCCCCCAACCAGTGTTGTAAATTACTCCTGAAAAGCACTGAGGGGGTAGTGGATAATAAGATATTTTACATTTCACAATGTACCCCCCCAAAAAAACAAAACTAAGGATAAAATTCAGCCACAACAGGTGCATACAGTACTGTGCTGACTGTACTTGTACAGTGTACATGTACAGGCATATGTGAAATGTTATCTCTGTTTTCAGATGTACGAGTTGCAAGCCAGTCGGTGGGAATGGAAGAAGCTGAAGCCTAAAGCACCTAAGTCCCCTGGGGTTTATCCATGCCCTCGACTAGGACATAGTTTCACTGCTGTCAATCACAAGGCTTATCTCTTTGCCGGACTGGCTAATGACAGTGATGACCCAAAAAATAACATTCCCAGGTAAATGTTTGATTCCTAACCTTTGCCCTTTTGCCAGCAGCTTGGTTTGTTTCTTGTTTTGTTTGTGTTTGAAAGAGGATTTGTGTTTATTATCCCCACAGTAGAAATCATTTTACACTTTTAAAGAACATCACTGAACAGAATGTAAAAGTTGAATAAAAAGTTACAGGTTTTTTCTATCATCTATCTACAGATATCTAAATGATCTCTACGTGGTAGATATACGGAGCAGCAATAACTTACAGTGGGAAGTACCATCAACGTTTGGTATGACACCTTCTCCACGAGAATCACACACTTGTGTTGCTACGTCAGACTCAGACAGTAAGAGACCAAGACTTATTGTTTATGGTGGAATGAGTGGTTGCCGCCTTGGTGATCTCCATCAGTTAGATATTGGTGAGTGAAAGTGCAGTTACACATAATTTGACCCTACTGGCCAAATGTTTGCCCATGATAATTCAAAGTCAACCATTGAAGTGGTAGGAATGTTGCAGTGAGAAATAATTTTACTTGTATGTGATCAGTGTTGGGGTTTAAGCCATATAGGGGAGTTTTAGCATCTTACAGACATTTCAGAGTAGTCTTTTTAAAAAGTGATGACTTGATTTACATTACAGATACAATGACATGGTCCAAACCAGCTGTCCACAATATGATTCCTCTGCCCAGGAGCCTCCATTCTGCTACCACTATTGGCAAAAGGTTGGTTACCTGTCATTTGCAACTGCTGTACATTTTCTTAGCAAAAGCGGTCTGTCTAGGGCATAACACATTCTCACATGGTGTGCCTGTTAGTAGTAGTGGACTAATACATCAAGAAAGTCATAGAGAACTTAGAGACTGCCTTTTATTATATAAACACCAATGAAATACCAGGTGAGCTTTCGCACGAAAACTTGATATCTCACATGTGAAAATAACATGTTATCTTCACATGTGAAAAAATCACCTTTGCTATGGCTACATAATAAGTTGTGCCTTTTACACCAAAAAACCATTAAAGTGAAATGGTTTGGTATGTCATTGGTGTTTATATAATGAATAGAACATTACATGGCCAGTTAGAGATACAAAATTTCTCTTCTCATGTTGAAAAAATATTTCACTCATTCGCTGCGCTCACTCGTGAAATATTTTTCAACACTCAAAGAGAAATTTTGTATCTCCGCGTGGCCATGTAATATCCTCTATTTATGATGTACTTACTAGGTTTCCTTGATGTGATAATATCTTTTCATTTTTTTTTTCTTGCTTCTTAGAATGTTTGTGTTTGGTGGTTGGGTACCACTTGTAATGGATGAAGTGAAAGGGAGGCAAGATGAGAAGGAATGGAAATGTACAAACTCTCTCGCTTGTTTAAATTTAGGTATGCTCTGTGATAGTTAATTGATTTATATTAAGATGGTTGTGATAGTTGTCACTGATAAATAAAAACACTGACATAGTGGTTTACTTTAATATTGAGAAATTAAAGTTGAAAAGATCCTACATTCATTTATTGTTGTGTATGATTGAAGCAATATTGTCATTCGAAGCCAAGTTTTCTTTCTTTTCATTGGTCGAGGGCCCACCACGTGCCTTGCAAGTAACTACCCACAAATAACGGTCTGCTCATGCGCAATCTAATCATACTGAGTTTGGCTGCAAATAATATTCATGCGTAAAAGAAACCATGCTTTTCTCCTTCTTGTGATTGCTCTTGCATGAAAATGGCAGATTGCTTCGCTTCCTGAGAATATTCATTGCAAAGCAAACTCGCTGTTCAAATGACAAATCACGATATTTTGCTCAACCTTGTCCAGTGATAATATTATTGTTAAGTATTGTACTGCACTTAAATCATTTAGTGAGTGCAGAAGTTTTTTGTCGTAGGAAAAACCACCTTTGATGTTTCCTCAAAACTGTTGTCCTTGTCTTAGGGGTAGTACCGAACATTTTTTGATTCCCTAGTTGAAACACTTTTTTATTTTTTTTGTCCACAGAAAGCATGTCTTGGGAGAATGTAGTGATGGATCAGTATGATGATTCAATCCCTAGAGCAAGGGCAGGGCACTGCAGTGTAGCTGTGAGTCTTAAAAAGATGCTTCTCTTGTGCGTTTTTTATTTGGTTAATGGATTGTAATGAAATGCAAAGCAATAATGCTGTCATTTCAAAGTTGTTGATCAATACTACGGTATTAACACATTACCATCTTCCCATTCCCTCTGTCGCACATCCTTCACATGCCTAAAACTGCGCTTCTCCGTCCCCTTTCAACCACCCACCACTCAGGCTGTCACTTACTTTAAAAGCACCTTTTTAACTAGTAAGTTAATAATAGGCTATTACAAAAAACTGAAACATAGGATAATGCAATTATTCTAGAGCTCTGATTGGCTTAGCTTATAATCAAAAACAAGCTGAAAATCAGTTGTTTTGACAAATAAAGTCGGGAAGAATTCTCAATATTTTGGGGCGTTTTTGTTCAACAATAATCCACTCATGCTTGCTGGATAAATGAGTTGATTATAGCCAACTCTCGCTGGCTATCACTATCTCATATCCAATGGGCACTGGTGGAATAATATTGTTAATTGGTCCTTATGCAAACACAAAATAGCTATAGCTGTACAGTCAAAGAGAGGCCTCATATCACTGTGAACCTGTAGCCAAGCACAAGGTTTTGCCAGAAAAGCTGCAATCTCATTTTGAGTCAGCAAAATAAGTGAATTGACTAGAATTCAGTTTTTCAGGATTCTACCATACATGTATTTTCTTCCAAAATGCTCAGTTTGTTATAAGTGTTAAGTACCTTATTTTTATTTTAATCAGATCAACACCAGATTGTACATGTGGAGTGGCAGAGATGGCTACCGAAAAGCTTGGAACAATCAGGTTAGTTTGAGTGTAAAATATCTCAGGAGTTGTTCACTTCACCATGTTAATTCCAAATACATCATTGTGTTCTTACAGTCAGGTAGCGAGTTATAAAACTAGTTCTATCTTTTAGATGACTGTTGTGCTGCGTTCTTCTGTGGGGCTCTTTTCTTATTTTAATTCACTAGTTATTTAGGTTGTTCTTAGTATTTACTTCACATAGTGTTAGGTTTTTATAGAGCTGGATTTCAAGACAAAGTGCTAATAGCATGATTTTTGTCAGGTATGCTGCAAAGACTTGTGGTATCTTGAAACAGGTGTGTATGTGGTTTTATTTCTGCCATGATCACTTTAAAAGCTCTCTGCCTTTAAAATTTATTTCCATAACTCTGAGATATGTTTGTAAGCTCTTCTTTTTTCTTTAGAAAAACCTCCTGCCCCAACTAGGGTGCAGTTGGTTCGAGCAAGTACCACTACCCTGGAAGTGTGCTGGGGCTCTGTACCTACTGGTATGTTGTTATTTCTGTTGTCACATCTTTTGGTTATTTGTGGTGTTGATAATCACAGAGGTTAATACAGTTTAACAGCAAAGGGTCATTGAGATCAATCCTCATCATTGGCCATGCTTGTACTCAAAATATACAGCTGGTGTGTTACTCATTTTTCTGGTGCGAATAAAGTGCTTTTTTCATCATGTAAAGTGAACTCACATTGTTCTTTGTTTAAGGAAAAATTCTAAATTGTAACATTTGAAATCTGTATCTGTTGGCGATAAATTTCATTTTCAGGTTAAATGTTTCTGCCCCCAAGTTTGATTCAGAATTTCCTTTGTTGCCTAGCCCTAGGTCTTCATAGGAGACAAAGGAAATTGTGGTTTAACATGACAACAGATTTTCCCCACATTTACCTATTTGCTGTGACAAAAATGTGAAATGTTATCTCTGTTTTCAGATGTACGAGTTGCAAGCCAGTCGGTGGGAATGGAAGAAGCTGAAGCCTAAAGCACCTAAGTCCCCTGGGGTTTATCCATGCCCTCGACTAGGACACAGTTTCACTGCTGTCAATCACAAGGCTTATCTCTTTGCCGGACTGGCTAATGACAGTGATGACCCAAAAAATAACATTCCTAGGTAAATCTTTAATTCCTAACCTTTGCCTTTTTGTCAGCAGTTTGGTTTGTTTCTTGTTTTGTTTGTGTTTGAAAGAGGATTTGTGTTTATTACCCCCACAGTAGAAATCATTTTACACTTTTGAAGAACATCACTGAACAGATGTAAAAGTTGAATAAAAAGTTACAGGTTGTTTCTGTCATCTATCTGCAGATATTTAAATGATCTCTACGTGGTAGATATACGGAGCAGCAATAACTTGCAGTGGGAAGTACCATCAACGTTTGGTATGACACCTTCTCCACGAGAATCACACACTTGTGTTGCTACGTCAGACTCAGACAGTAAGAGACCAAGACTTATTGTTTATGGTGGAATGAGTGGTTGCCGTCTTGGTGATCTCCATCAGTTAGATATTGGTGAGTGAAAGTGCCGTTACACATAATTTGACCCTACTGGCCAAATGTTTGCCCATGATAATTCAAAGTCAACCATTGAAGTGGTAGGAATGTTGCAGTGAGAAATGATTTTATTTGTATGTGATCAGTGTTGGAGCAGTTAGATATTGGTTTGTGAAAGTGCTGTTAGATATAATTTGACCCCACTAGCCGAATGTTTGCCTATGTAATTCAAAGTCAACCATTGAACTGGTAGGAATGTTGCAGTGAGAAATAATTCTATTTGTATGTGATCAGTGTTGGAGTTTAAGCCGTATAGGGGAGTTTTAGCATCTAACAGACATTTCAGAGTAATCTTTTTAAAAAGTGATGACTTGTTTTACATTACAGATACAATGACATGGTCCAAACCAGCTATCCACAATATGATTCCTCTGCCAAGGAGCCTCCACTCTGCTACCACTATTGGCAAAAGGTTTGTTACCTGTCATTTGCAACTGCTGTACATTTACTTAGCAAAAGCAGTCTGTCTAGTGCGTAACACATTCTCACAGGGTGTGCCTGTTAGTAATAGTGGACTAATACATCAAGAAAGTCATAAAGAACTTGGAGACTGCCTTTTTTGATGTACTTTCTAGGTTTTCTTAATGTGATAATATCTTTTCAATTTTTTTTTTCTTGCTTCTCAGAATGTTTGTGTTTGGTGGTTGGGTACCGCTTGTAATGGATGAAGTGAAAGGGAGGCAAGATGAGAAGGAATGGAAATGTACAAACTCTCTTGCTTGTTTAAATTTAGGTATGCTCTGTGATAGTTAACTGATTTAGTTTAAAGGTAGTTGTGATAGTTGTCACTGATAAATAAAATCACTGACATATTGGTTTACTTTAATATTGAGAAATTAAAGTTGAAAAGATCCCACATTCATTTATTGTTGTGTATGATTGAAGCAATATTGTCATTCAAAGTAAATTTTTCTTTCTTTTCATTGGCCGAGGGCCCACCACGTGTCCTGCAAATAACTGCTCAGAAATAATGGTCTGCTCATGCGCAATCTCATCCGACTGTTTTTGGCTGCAAATAACATTCTGCTCATGTGTAAAAGAAACCACACTTTTCTCCTTGTTCCGACGCTCTTGCTTGAAAATGGCAGATTGCTTCACTTCCCAAGGATATTCATTAAAAAACAAACTCGGTGATCAAATGATAAAAGAATCATTGAACTCGGTTATCGCAAAATATTTTGGCAAATAATTATTGATTGCTTGCCACTGACAAATCAGGATATTTTGCTCAACCTCATCCAATAATAATAATTTGTTAAGTATTGTACTGCACTTAAATCATTTAGTGAGTGCAGCAGTTTTTTGTCGTAAGAATAACCACCTTTGATGTTTCCTCAAAACTGTTGCCCTTGTCTTAGGGGTAGTACCGAACATTTTTTGATTCCCTAGTTTAAACACTTTTTTAATTTTTTTGTCCACAGAAAGCATGTCTTGGGAGAATGTAGTGATGGATCAGTATGATGATTCAATCCCTAGAGCAAGGGCAGGGCACTGCAGTGTGGCTGTGAGTCTTACAAAGATACTTCTCTTGTGCCTTTTTTATTTGGCTAATGGATTGTAATGAAATGCAAAGCAATAATGCTGTCATTTCAAAGTTGTTGATCAATACTCAGGGCTGTGCTCTAGCAGACCCCGGTGGCCCCTGGCGCCTAACTTTTGCCAGCGGGCGACTAGAAAATCTCAGGTTTTTCATACAAATCATATGCTGGGCACCCTAGATTTTACAGTTTCAGAGCACTGGGCTCCCTTCAATTTTCCTTAGAGCACAGCCTTGATACTACCGTATTAACACTTTACCATCTTCCCGTTCCCTCTGTCGCACATCCTTCACATGCTTAAAACTGCACTTCTCCATCCCCTTTCAACCACCCACCACTCAGGCTGTAAATTTAAAAGCACCTTTTTAACGTGTAAGTTTATATAAGCTATTATAAAAAACTGAATCGTTGGATAATGTAATTCTAGAGCTGTGATTGGCTTAGCCATCATTGTATATGAGCGATTATGCCATGCTCTCCAAATATGGTAACTGTATGCATCTGCTCAAAATTAAAAACAAGCTGAAAGTAGGTTGTTTGCACAAATAAAGTCGGGAAGAATTCTCGATATTTTGTGGGCATTTTTATTAAAACAATTATTATTCCACTCGTGCTTGCTGGATAAATGAGATGATTATAGCCAACTCTCATTTGCTATCACTATCTCATATCCAATGGGCACTGGTGAAATAATATTGTTAATTAGTCATTATTCAAACACAAAATAGCTATAGTTGAAGAGTCAAAGAGAGACCTCATATCACTGTGAACCTGTAGCCAAGCACAAGATTTTGCCAGAAAACTGCAAGCTCATTTTGAGTGGGCAAAATCGGTGAATTGACTAGAATTCAGTTTTCAGGATTCTACCGTATTTTCTTCCAAAATGCTCAGTTTGTTATAAGTGTTAAATACCTTATTTTTATTTTAATCAGATCAACACCAGATTGTACATGTGGAGTGGCAGAGATGGCTACCGAAAAGCTTGGAACAATCAGGTAAGTTTGAGCGTAAAATATCTCAGGAGTTGTTCACTTCACCATGTTAATTCCAAATACATCACTGTGTTCTTACAGTCAGGTAGTAAGTTTTAAAACTAGTTCTATCTTTTAGGTGACTGTTGTGCTGCACTGCTTCTGTGGGGCTCTTTTCGTATTTTAGTTCACTAGTTATTTAGGTTGTTCTTAGTAGTATTTGCTTCACACAGTGTTAGGTTTTTATAGAGTGGGATTTCAAGACAAAATGCTAATAGCATGATTTTTGGCAGGTATGCTGCAAAGACTTGTGGTATCTTGAAACAGGTAAGTATGTGGTTTTATTTCTGCCATGATCACTTTAAAAGCTCTCTGCCTTTAAAATTTATCTCCATAACTCTGAGATATGTTTACAAAAATAAGCTTTTTCTATTTTCTTTAGAAAAACCTCCTGCCCCAACTAGGGTGCAGTTGGTTCGAGCAAGTACCACTACCCTGGAAGTGTGCTGGGGCTCTGTGCCTACTGGTATGTTGTTATTTCTGTTGTCACATCTTTTGGTTATTTGTGGTGTTGATAATCACAGAGATTAATACAGTTGAACAGCAAAGGGTCATTGAGATCAATCCTCATCATTGGCCATGCTTGTACTCAAAATATACAGCCAGTGTGTTACTCATTTTTCTGGTGTGAATAAAGTGCTTTTTTCATTATGTAAAGTGAACTGACATTGTTCTTTGTTTAAGGAAAAATTCTAAATTGTAACATGTGAAATCTGTATCTGTTGGGGATAAAATTCATTTTCAGGTTAAATGTTTCTTCCCCCAAGTTTGATTCAGAATTTCCTTTGTTGCCTAGCCCTAGGTCTTCATAGGAGACAAAGGAAATTGTGGTTTAACATGACAACAGATTTTCCCCACATTTACCTATTTGCTGTGACAAAAACCTTTTTTTTTTTTGCATCAGGCTGTCTTGGATATCCTTTAACAGGGTGCAAAGAAAGTCAGTTTTACAGCCCCCTATTCGGGCAAGCTGTAGCTAGCATGTACTAGCCCACAACTCATTTCAACTAGCCCCAAAACCCTTTTTGATTAGCATGATTGATGACAATCTTTCTGTAATTTGAATTTCCCCAAAAACAGCACTTGCCAGTCGGGCAAGTTAAGAACAAAAATCACTAGTCCAATAGCAAAATCCACTAGCCCCGGGCTATCGGACAAGACTTTCTTTACACGCTGTTTAAGTGCTATTGGTACATTTTGTGATTATCTGACATCCCTTTTTTCACAGCTGATGCATATCTACTACAGCTACAGAAGTACGAACTTCCCCCAACACCAGCTGCCACTCCTGTGAAAGCAGCCTTCTCATCCACCGGGACAGGAAGCCCACTAGGGACAAAGACACCAGCATCAGCAACTACACCTCCAAAAGTGGCAGTCAAGGCCTCTCCAGCAACTTCACCCTCTGTTACGCCAACTAAACAGCTAGGCATGGCCACACAGAAAGTTGTAATGCAGTCGCCATCACAGACTGCTAAGCCCAAAGCACAGCCAATGGCATCACCAGCCAAGCCTGTCATTCAGAAACAAAGTCCAGCCGCCAGTCCTGTGCCAGCTGTGGCTTCTTCAGTTACATCAACAGGTACGTCAGTAACTCAGGCATCCCCAGCCACAGCATCTACTGCAGTATCTGGTATAAAGACAGTTGTTCAAGGCCAGCTTGTCAATCAGGGTCAAGCAGCTTCAGCAGGTACAATAACTGGTCAGGGACTTGCACTGATTCGAGCACCAGTTCAGCTTCCTCCTGGAGTTCAGGCTACCATGATCACCAATGCTCAGGGCATCCCTGTCATGCGACTTCAGGGTGCAGGGATTCAAGGAACAGCACCTGTGACGATAGTCACCACCCAAGTTGGTGCAACGCAACTACAAGGAGCAACCATCGTGCGTATGGCCGCCCCAGTTGGCAACCCTGCGTCAAGCGGAACCACAACTGGAACAGTTCTGAGGTTACCAGTGCAGAGTGGAACCAGTAATGTGCCAGGGACAGCTGTGTTAAAGATTCCTGTTACAACTTCAATCCAGCTGCCTGGTGCGACAGGTCTGACCATGACAGCCATAGCAGGAAGCGGTGGCCAGGCTGTGATTAGACAGCAACTTCCTGTGACACTGCCTGCAAACTTACCCCCAGGAACACAGCTTAAAGTAGGACCACAGGGTCAGCTGACTGCTGTAGGCCCAGGTGGTATTCCTGTACAGCTCACCCTGCAGAATGTCAAGACACAGCAGGTGGCAACAGGGTTGCAAGTTCAGTCCGGTGCCACTATAGGAACCCCAACAGTTGTGCAGCTAGCAGGTGCTTCTCCTGTGAAAGCAAACATTGCACAGCTGACAACATCTTCAGCAGCTACAGCAAAAGTCACACAGGCTACCCAAAGCTTAGTTACAAGCACCAAACCTGCAGTGACATTGACAGTGGCTCCAGTTGCCAAGACAGTGATGACCACAGCATCTGTCACTCCATCATCAGCAGTTGTAACTGGACAAACCACTCTTGTCAAGAAGCAGATTCCTCCTTCTGCAGCAGTGTCTCCTGCCACTGCTCAGGTTATCACAGGGCAGGAACAAAAGACCTCAGCAACTGCAGTGTCAATGTCAGGCCAGCCAGTGAAAACAACCATGTCCAGCAAACAGACAACTGTAGTGACGACACTTACAACAAGACAACAGTTTACCAAAACAATGGTTACAGGGACAATCAGCACCTCTGGAGCAGTATCTGTAACAACTGTCTTGCCTTCTAAGGTGAATCCCCCAGCAACATCAACAGCAAAAGCTCCAATACCACAAGTGACAACAACATCTGTCTCTGTCACCAAAGCAAGTTTGCCCACCACTACCATTGCAAGTATACCTGCTGTCGTCAAGACCAACACAGCAGATACCACTACAAAAAGTAAAACAACAACATCGTCAACTACAACACTATCAACTCATGCCACACCCAAAGCCATTGTCAGTGTTGCCAAGGCAACAGCAGCCGAGTCCACAATGCAATCATCTGTGACGCAGATGTCAAGATCAGCAGTTGCACCCACTAGTACAGCAGGAATTGTGAAAGCAGTCACCACTGCCCCTGTTGTTTCCTCAGTAACAACTCCGCTGGTGTCTTCGACAGTGTCCAGTAACACACCAGTGGCAGTAGTATCTCCACTGATTACCACAACACGGCCTACTGCCTCTGTCACAAGAGCTTCCACCGGAATTGTGTCAACCAGTTTGCCTCAAACAGTCACTACAAGCTCCGCACAGGTGACTACTGCTATGTCGCGCACTGTGAATGATGGAGCAGGTATAAAGGCTGACAGATCAGCTACACCAGCCCTGATATCAAAGGTAAAGTTTAAATTTCTAGATGTAGGTTTCTAGCTATTGCAAAGCAATAGCTAGAAATATGCTTGAAACAAAATATCCCAAAGTATGTAGCATCTAAGTGGCCCAAATATCATAGTACAAGAGATTTGCAACAAAATTTTGCATGTTCTTATTCTGGAATACAATCAATCAAATGCGCCAGTATGAATTAAGAAAGGTAATTTATCTTTTATGGGAGTGCAGAGCAGTTGTAACAGACAAACTGAAATAATCCATGTTTGAGTTCCATATTAAAAGAGGTTAATTTATTGATGAGAGACTCTTAACTGGTGTGGTATTTTGCACTGTGACACACAAATAAGGAAAGAAAAAAATACAGCAGCCTAAACCACTCAGCCATGCTGCCTTGTCCATTTTTTTATTATTATTGAATGCAAGCACTAGGAACATATTTTAGTGGCCAGGAAAACTTAATCGCGTTGACTTATTTTCAGGCTCAAAAACCAGTGAAACCTAGCTATACCAGAAAAGTACAGTCTTCAAATCAGTGGTATGATGTAGGAATCGTCAAAGGAATCTCCATGATGGTCACACATTACTATTTATCTCCTGAAAGTACAACAAATGAGGTGAGAGAAGCTAGATTGCTTGTGATGTACCGGTAGTTGAAGGCCTTTGACTTTCATCAATACCTAAAATTAAAGAAAAATAGTGAAAAGCAAATTGTATCATGTGAAAGTACTGCTGGAGAAGTTTGATTTGAATGGTCACGCAACACGATTTCATCCACTGGTTCAAAAGTCAGAACTACATACTAAATAAATAGTACTATGTGAAAATACTGCTGAAGAGGTTTCATTTAAATGGTCACACAATAGGATTTCATCCACAGACTCAAAAGTCAGAACTACATACTAAACAAATAGTACCATGTGAAAGCACTACTGAAGAGGTTTCATTTGAATGGTAACATCATAGGATTCCATTCACAGACTCAAAAGTTAGAACTACGTACTAAACAAATAGTACCATGTGAAAACTCTGCTGAAGAGGTTTCATTTGAATGGTCACACAATAGGATTTCATCCACAGACTCAAAAGTCAGAACCACTGTTGTCTCCATTTAAACTGGAGTTGGAATGTAAAAGTTAAATGAATTTTGCGTGAAATTCAAAGGTGCGCGATCTGAATTACTAACATGAGCCATATTTTCAAACAACCTTGGACTTAGTTAATATGTACCCTTTCTTTTGAAAGAAAATGTTGTGAAAATGTTAAAGACAAAGTATTTCATTTCAAACTTGTTCAAACTTACGACATACGAATGAGGTCTTAATAAAGTTATCAAATAGAAACCTTTTGGTACTTTTGAACTTGTAGGCCAACCTTGACATTGAAAGCGGCTCTGAACATAATTTAAAGAAGCAGGAGCTTTTACCAGGAACGGCGTACAAATTTCGAGTAGCAGCCATCAATGCTTGCGGAAGAGGACCATTCAGTGATGTGTCTGCTTTTAAAACATGCCTACCAGGTGAAAAAGTCAACTAACCACTCTACATTTGTTTCCCCTAACTACGGGAACTTTCCAGTTTTCCTAAACGTCACCAACTACATGTACTTCGAAGGCTTCTATGTAAAACTTTTGGAAACCCTAAGGTGGAGGGTGGGGGAAATGCTGCATGAAAGTGACACGGATGCTCATCGTCTAGCTTCCCACGAGGAAGGAGCGCGTAAAAAAGCCGTAAAAACGTCCGCGTGGAAGGCTACTCATCGTCTCGTCTAGGGGTAGAAATTGCAGATTTTTGTGTCTTTTGGGGTGTTAACGTATCACGTAGAATTATGCTCAAAGAAATATCTCGATTAAACAGCATCTACTGCAGTATCTGGTATAAAGACAGTTGTTCAAGGCCAGCTTGTCAATCAGGGTCAAGCAGCTTCAGCAGGTACAATAACTGGTCAGGGACTTGCACTGATTCGAGCACCAGTTCAGCTTCCTCCTGGAGTTCAGGCTACCATGATCACCAACGCTCAGGGCATCCCTGTCATGCGACTTCAGGGTGCAGGGATTCAAGGAACAGCACCTGTGACGATAGTCACCACCCAAGTTGGTGCAACGCAACTACAAGGAGCAACCATCGTGCGTATGGCCGCCCCAGTTGGCAACCCTGCGTCAAGCGGAACCACAACTGGAACAGTTCTGAGGTTACCAGTGCAGAGTGGAACCAGTAATGTGCCAGGGACAGCTGTGTTAAAGATTCCTGTTACAACTTCAATCCAGCTGCCTGGTGCGACAGGTCTGACCATGACAGCCATAGCAGGAAGCAGTGGCCAGGCTGTGATTAGACAGCAACTTCCTGTGACACTGCCTGCAAACTTGCCCCCAGGAACACAGCTTAAAGTGGGACCACAGGGTCAGCTGACTGCTGTAGGCCCAGGTGGTATTCCTGTACAGCTCACCCTGCAGAATGTCAAGACACAGCAGGTGGCAACAGGGTTGCAGGTTCAGTCCGGTGCCACAATAGGAACCCCAACAGTTGTGCAGTTAGCAGGTGCTTCTCCTGTGAAGGCAAACATTGCACAGCTGACAACATCCTCAGCAGCTCCAGCAAAAGTCACACAGGCTACCGAAAGCTTAGTTACAAGCACCAAACCTGCGGTGACATTGACGGTGGCTTCAGTTGCCAAGACAGTGATGACCACAGCATCTGTCACTCCATCATCAGCAGTTGTAACTGGACAAACCACCCTTGTCAAGAAGCAGTTTCCTCCTTCTGCGGCAGTGTCTCCTGCCACTGCTCAGGTTATCTTAGGGCGGGAACAAAAGACCTCAGCAACTGCAGTGTCAACATCAGGCCAGCCAGTGAAAACAACCATGTCCAGCAAACCAACAACTGTGGTGACAACACTTACAACAAGACAACAGTTTACCAAAACAATGGTTACAGGGACAGTCAGTACCTCTGGACCAGTATCTGTAACAACTGTCTTGCCTTCTAAAGTGAATCCCCCAGCAACATCAACAGCAAAAGCTCCAGTACCACAAGCAACAACAACATCTGTCTCCGTCGCCAAAGCAAGTTTGCCCACCACTACCATTTCAAGTATACCTGCTGTTGTCAAGACTAACACAGCAGATTCCACTATGACAAGTAAAACAACATCTTCAACTACAACACTATCAACTCAAGCCACACCCAAAGCCATTGTCAGTGTTGCCAAGGCAACAGCAGCTGAGTCCACGATGCAATCATCTGTGACGCAGATGTCAAGATCAGCAGTTGCACCTGCAAGTACAGCCGGGATTGTGAAAGCAGTCACCACTGCTCCTGTTGTTTCCTCAGTAACAACTCCGCTGGTGTCTTCGACAGTGTCCAGTAACACCCCAGTGGCAGTAGTGTCTCCACTGATTACGACAACACGGCCCACTGTCGCTGTGACAAGAGTTTCCACCGGAAATGTGTCAACCAGTTTGCCTCAAACAGTCACTACAAGCTCCGCACAGGTGACTACTGCTATGTCGCGCACTGTGAATGATGGAGCAGGTATAAAGGCTGACAGATCAGCTACACCAGCCCTGATATCAAAGGTAATTGCTTTACAATAGCTAGAAATATGCTTGAAATAAAATATCTCAAAGTATGTAGCATCTAAGTGGCCCAAAAATCATAGTACAAGAGATTTGTAACAAAATTTTGCATGTTCTTCAGTCTGGAATACAATCAATCAAATGTGCCCGTATGAATTAAGAAAGGTAATTTATCTTTTAAAGTAGTACAGGGCAGTTGTAAGAGACAAAATTAAATATCCATGTTTGAGTTCCATATTAAAAGAGGTCAATTTATTGATGAGACACTCTATCTGGTGTGGTATTTTGCACTGTGACACACAAATAAGGAAAGAAAAAAATACAGCAGCCTAAACCACTCAGCCATGCTGCCTTGTCCAATTTTTTTATTATTGAATACAAGCACTGGGAACGTATTATAGTGGCCAGTAAAACTTAATCGCGTTGGCTTATTTTCAGGCTCAAAAACCAGTCAAACCGAGCTATACCAGAAAAGTACAGTCTTCAAATCAGTGGTATGATGTAGGAATTGTCAAAGGAATCTCCATGATGGTCACGCATTATTATTTATCTCCTGAAAGTACAACAAATGAGGTGAGAGAAGCTAGATTGCTTGTGATGTACCGGTAGTTAAGGCCTTTGACTTTCATCAATACCTAAAATTAAAGAAAATACTGAAAACCAAATAGTATCATGTGAAAGTACTGCTGAAGAGGTTTCATTTGAAAGGTCACACGATAGGATTTCATCCACAGACTCAAAAGTTAGAAGTACATATACTAAATAAATAGTAGCATGTGAAAATACTGCTGAAGAGGTTTCATTTGAATGGTCACACAATAGGATTTCATCCACAGACTCAAAAGTCAGATCTACTACTGTTGTCTCCATTTAAACTGGAGGTGGAATGTAAAAATAGAATGAATTTGCGTGAAACTCAGAGGTGCGCGATTTGAATTACTAACATGAGCCAAATTTTGGAACAACCTTGGACTTAGTTAACATGTACCCTTTCTTTTGAAAGAAAATGTTGTAAAAATGTTAAAGACAAAGTATCTCATTTCAAACTTGTTCAAACTTATGACGTACCAATGAGGTCTTAATAAAGTTATAAAATAGAAACCTTTTGGTACTTTGGAACTTGTAGGCCAACCTTGACATTGAAAGCGGCTCTGAACATAATTTAAAGAAGCAGGAGCTTTTACCAGGAACAGCGTACAAATTTCGAGTAGCAGCCATCAATGCTTGCGGAAGAGGACCATTCAGTGATGTGTCTGCTTTTAAAACATGCCTACCAGGTGAAAAAGTCAACTAACTACTCTACATTTGTTTCCCCTAACTACGGGAACTTTCCAGTTTTCCTAAACGTCACCAACTACATGTACTTCGAAGGCTTCTATGTAAAACTTTTGGAAACCCTGGGGTGGAGGGTGGGGGAAATCCTGCATGAAAGTGACACGGATGCTCATCGTCTAGCTTCCCACGAGGAAGAAGCGCGTAAGAAAGCCGTAAAAACGTCCGCGTGGAAGGCTACTCATCGTCTCGTCTAGGGGTAGAAATTGCAGATTTTTGTGTCTTTTGGGGTGTTAACGTATCACGTAGAATTATGCTCAAAGAAATATCTCGATTAAACGAAACAATTTCCCTCATACTGTATTAGAGTATGGTCTCCTTTAGGCAACAAATGAAGCCTGATCCACACCACGCCGGTCTCCATACGGGGTTTGTTATAATTATCTGAGGACTAGGTCTACCTAAAAGAGAAAGAAGTACAGTTGTATCTCCCAGTGAACTTGAGTGGAAGATCGTCTTCGAAGAGAGCTCTTGAGTCGAATAGCTCTCCGTATGTTTTGGATGCTTGAGGGCTTTCAATTTTGACAGAGGGGAGGTCGGAAAAAATTGTTGGACAGCCCTTTGGGGCTTGATAAAGGAATAAATGAAGTCAAGGGGTGGGTTGTGATTTTTTTTATTTTTTTGCTATCTAAAGAGGAAGGAAAGGGGCAAAAATTCATCGATGAATCATTATAATCCTTAATTAATCCTGAACTTTTCTGAAACTACCGATTCCTAACTTAGATATCTTTTATTTATTTCTTCCCTTTAGGTTTTCCTGGAGCTCCATCAGCAATTAAAATCAGCAAGGTTTGTGTAGTACTGTTTAAAAAACGAGCAGGAGTTTGCCTCGAGTTTAAAAACCTGATAATACGCGAGTACGTGTTTTTTGAACGGCTTCAAAATCTCTGATATAGATCAACTCATTTTTGCACAAATATTTAGACTTGGGGTTATTTTGTTCTAAAATATTGGACGTAAAGTTTAGCTGTGTCTTTATCAGATATAAAGACACTCATTAAACATTAATTTCTTTCGTTTTTTCTTCATGAATTATTAAAGTGCTTTTGAATTAGATGTTGATAAGAAGAAACGTAAATTATGTACAGCTTTCCAGCTTTGTAGAGTAGTCAGGCTTAAACACTTTTTCAGTTGGTCGTCAGTAACAGCACCCCGTCAACAGAGGCTTTCTTTCACCCGATCGATTTTTGCGTACTCGAGAAAGACCCTGCGTGATTCGAGTAAGATAATTGCTGAGCATGCAGGGCATGTTGCTGGAATATAGTTTCGAACCTATGCCTAAAAGCCGTGCGCTTGCTACAGCGGGCTTGTTTATGACCATTGGTTTACCAAAAAATGGATGCTCGCTTTCGAAAACCAAATTTGGCGGGAAAAAATAATATTGACTTGTCTAGCAGTTCGGGCTGCGGTGATCCAATGGTTTGGTGTCAAGTCGTTTTGTCCGAAAGTTGGTTCGCGCGATAGCAGTTCGTCCAGACTAAATCGATTGGCCCGAAGCGTATCTGTCGTTCTTTAAGCCTGAAAAAAGGGAATAAGCATAGAAAGACAGTGACCGCACATGTGGAATCCAAGGGTAACTAAAGTAATATCTCGACTGGTATGTTGACCATGTTGTAGAGTGTTGTATGTCATCGGGCGAATCGACTAATTTCCTGGCGAACGCCGTCGGGCAGGATTCAGGCAGAGCGTCCTTTTCTCCTCCTCTCTCAAGAAGACAAAAAAAGGTGAAAAACAGTAAAAATTTAATCTTATTTCCTGTTTGGATAAATCAGAACGCTGAGGGAGCTCACTTATCGTGGGAAGCACCGTCCAATGCCGCTGGTAATGTAAGTGAATACTCCGTGTACCTCGCCATACGCAGCCAGTCAAACAACCAGTCAGACGACAAACCAGTAGCAGGGCTGACGTCATCAAGTTCGGGCCCAGTCCAGCTCGCTTTTGTACGTGTGTATTGTGGTGCCCAGCCCACCTGCACTGTCAGCACGGCCACTCTTCAAAGCGCGCATATCGACTTCTCGACCAAGCCAGCCATTATCTTCAGAATTGCTGCCAAAAACGACAAAGGGTCAGTATCAATTGAACGTTTTCCACATCTCATTTAGCCTGCGAACAGCGGACGCATTTCCGGTCGTCGCTTCTCTCCCTTCGAAAAATAGGGAGAGAAGCGACGACCGGAAATGCGTCTGCTGTTCGCAGGCTAGATCTCAGTAAATACTGGTAAATGCATTGATACCTAGGATTTGATTTTCTTCACATTCTTTTTTCTTTTTTCAACTTATTTTTTTTAGTTACGGTCCAGCAACTCAAGTCAGATGGCTTCAAGGTAAACACCGTAGTGTCTAAATAAAACAGTTATTTTAGAATTTTGTGGTCGATAAGCCTTTTATGTTTCGATTCGTAAACTGTTGATTTCATGGACACGGGTTACTCTGTTACTTCTCATTTGTTAAACAGATATGAAAGACTTAAAAGATGGACAACTTGCTATGAAAACAACAGCGAAACGGTCGGCCGCAGACAGGTGAGAACTAGATAATACTGTCACTACTGATAGAGTGGTTTCGTAAGTGTAAAACTACTTTAAGCTGCTGACTAAGTTCAGGGTCCTTTAGGTTGTATGATACGAGAGAACGACTGGAGAACTGACCATTTGACTAACAATAGACGACTGTTTAACTGTGATAATAGACGGATCGAAACGCACCAATTACTGATTACGAGTCTTCATAGCCAATAACATCACGGCTTAACTGACAGACGACCAATAACATCGCGACGTAATTGACCAATCAAATCAATAACCAGAGTATAATACCATTAACTGGCGTGATAAAACTCACTTTGACTCTGAAGATGACTACCGCGCAGGTTGTCGAAACGTCAGTCACAGTCATCAACAACAGTCCTATTCAGGACTACGTTCACCCGGACGATCAAACTCAACCTACTTTTTGAAGTGACTCCTGGGTTCAAACCTTTCACAGATCAGAGATATGTTGCGCAATCTGAGACTGGAAGCGGACAATCGTTAGTTATGATTGGTCGATGATACTCAAGACAACCATTAACCTATGATCATAAGTAACGCTTCTCCACTCAAGCGATCCCAGAAATCGTTTCGCGCGAAAGTTTTTTCTAGAGTGGGAGATTGATAGATGTGACTTTTGTCTTTGTTCCTTTAGCCGGTCAGCGGAATCGTCCAAGAGAGCCAAGAAAGAAAAAGACAAACGCGAAGAAAAGGTAAAGAAAGAGAAAGAAGCAACAGAAGATATAACGCCAGAAGCCGAAACAAAGGACACATGATATAAAACATATATTCAAATACTCTTTATTTTATGTAGATACACATTCTTATTTAGATACACGTTCTCGGTATTGATGATAGAAACAAACATATTTATTTATGACGTTTGAAGACGGTTTTTTGTTTCCACCGTTTTGCGTGACAGGTGTTCGGTTTTCACTAGCAGTGGAAGCACAAAAGCGAGGGCGTTATTTCACCGTGAAAACGGTCCAGTCACAAGCCAAAGTTATGCTTGCGTCGCTTGTTAAAACCAGGTTTATGCAAGCTTCCATATTGTCAGAGTTGCGTGACGAACAAGTGACACGTCACGCAATGGACAGCGGAAGAGGCTCCTTCGACAGTGTTGACCGGTTTTTGAAAATTTCGAGAAACACTGTTTTGCGAACCTACTTGTTTCTGTTTTCGTATTGAGAACGTGTCATTGCTTTTACCGTGAAGGGGAATGGTGTATAGTATCTATGTAAGTACTTGTTTTAACACAGCCTGGATATCAGGCGAAAAACTTTGCAGAAAGTTGTTTCTCACGAATACTTTTAGACCAGTTACGCATCAGTTGAGATACACGTGGTGGCTTGCTTTTTAACCAGAGACCTCGGTTATTTTGGCAAAGTGGGAAATGGGCAGGACCTTTTTTTTGGAAATTGTGGAGTTTATTCCCGAATGCAGATAAAAGCATTGGCGGATTCAGCTATTTAATTTGGCAGGGGCCCGGCTTATCCAGACCAGCCTAAGATAACAGGGGGCCTGGCCTCGAAAATAATTTTTGTCAGCCCTGCCGGCTTCAGTTTGGCCAAAAACTACGAGGGGGCCTGGGCCCCACCCCTAATCCACCAATGAAAAGCCTCGCATCTCCTTGAGAGAACTGAAGTAAGTTTTTAGATTTCGGAGAAAAATTTCAGAATTCGCGTGTTCTTCACTCATTGGGGGCGAAAGTAGAAGAAACAAGTCTTCGCTCCAACTCAACGTTTTTGGTGAGTAGCTGGTGAAAGTATTTCTGATGGGTCTACAGATCTTATCGGCTGTCTTAGTGTAGATATTGCGAAGCCTCGTCTTATTGAACTGACCAGACAGGTGATTCCGCCGGGTCAATCTCGCTAGCGTGGAAAATTGAAAGGGAAAACAAGAGGCGCTTTCTTTGCGATTTGTCGCCGCCATATCACAAGGCTTGAAACATGTTTACAACATTTTTCAGTCATATTCAAACAACTTGTCGTTGCAGAACAAACGCACTGAAATCGTAGCCAGTTTTAACTTGGGACAAAACTTTGCACTGGAAATCGCAACAAAATACACCGGCCTTTTTTTGCTTACCTCTCCAACAGAAGACACCCATTGTTACAAATTATTTGTTTGCTACTTCAATATTAAGAAACACTCAATTGACAATCCAATTATTTGACGAAAATTTGTTTTCCTATGAAACGTTGTTCCGTAAACCCATAATACGCCAGTTGCAAATCTCCCATAATGTTCTTTATTTGCCCCCACCCCCCCCCCCCCACAACAAAAAAAAAAACCAACTTTTATTTATTATTTTTTTTTTTTAACGTGTGTATTGTGGTGCCCAGCCCACCTGCACTGTCAGCACGGCCACTCTTCAAAGCGCGCATATCGACTTCTCGACCAAGCCAGCCATTATCTTCAGAATTGCTGCCAAAAACGACAAAGGGTCAGTATAAATTGAACGTTTTCTACATCTCATACTTTTATATATATATACCTAGTACCTACTTCTGGTACCTAGTATTTGATTTTCTTCACTTTGTTAATTTCTTTTTTCAACTTATTTTTTTAGTTACGGCCCAGCAACTCAAGTCAGATGGCTCCAAGGTAAACACCGTAGTGTCTAAATAAAACAGTTATTTCGGATTTTTGTGATCGATAAGCCTTTTATGTTGCTATTCGTAAACTTCTGATTTCATGGACACGGGTTACTCTGTTATTTTTCATTTGTTAAACAGATATGAAAGACTTAAAAGATGGACAACTTGCTATGAAAACAACAGCGAAAAGGTCGGCCGCAGACAGGTGAGAACTAGATAATTCTGTCACTACTGATAGAGTGGTTTCGTAAGTGTAAGACTACTTTAAGCTGCTGACTAAGTTCATGGTCCTTTAGGTTGTATGATACGAGAGAACGACTGGAGAACTGACAATTTGACTAACAATAGACGACTGTTTAACTGTGACAATAGACGGATCGAAACGCACCAATTACTGATTACGAGTCTTCATAGCCACAATATCACGGCTTTATTGACAGACGACCAATAACATCGCGACGTAATTGACCAATCAAATCAATAACCAGAGTATAATACCATCAACTGACGTGATACAACTCACTTTGACTCCGAAGATGACTACCGCGCAGGTTTTCGAAACGTCAGTCACTTTCAACAACAACAGTCCTATTCAGGACTACGTTCACCCAGACGATCAAACTCAACCTACTTTTGAGGTGACTCCTGGGTTCAAACCTTTCACAGATCAGAGATATTTTGCGCAATGTGAGACTGGAAGCGGACAAGCGTTAGTTATGATTGGTCGATGGTATTCAAGGCAACCATTAACCAATAGTTATAACTAACGCTTGTCCACTCAAGCGATCCCAGAAATCGTCGCGCGCGAAAGTTTTTTCTAGAGTGGGAGATTGATAGATGTGGCTTTTGTCTTTGTTCCCTTAGCCGGTCAGCGGAATCGTCCAAGAGAGCCAAGAAAGAAAAAGACAAACGCGAAGAAAAGGTAAAGAAAGAGAAAGAAGCAACAGAAGATATAACGCCAAAAGCCGAACCAAAGGACACATGATATAAAACATATATTCAAATACTCTTTATTTTATGTAGATACACATTCTTATTTAGATACACGTTCTCGGTATTGATGATAGAAACGAACATATTTATTTATGACGTTTGAAGGCGGTTTTTTTGTTTCGACAGTTTTGCGTGGGAGGTGTTTAGGTTTCACTATCAGTGCAAGCACAAGAGCGAGGGCGTTATTTCACCGTGAAAACGGTCCAGTCACAAGCCAAAGTTATGCTTGCGTCGCTCGTTAAAACCAGGTTTATGCAAGCTTCCATATTGTCAGAGTTGCGTGACGAACAAGTGACACGTCACGCAATGGACAGCGGAAGAGGCTCCTTCGACAGTGTTGACCGGTTTTTGAAAATTTCGAGAAACACTGTTTTGCGAACCTACTTGTTTCTGTTTTCGTATTGAGAACGTGTCATTGCTTTTACCGTGAAGGGGAATGGTGTATAGTATCTATGTAAGTACTTGTTTTAACACAGCCTGGATATCAGGCGAAAAACTTTGCAGAAAGTTGTTTCTCACGAATACTTTTAGACCAGTTACGCATCAGTTGAGATACACGTGGTGGCTTGCTTTTTAACCAGAGACCTCGGTTATTTTGGCAAAGTGGGAAATGGGCAGGACCTTTTTTTTGGAAATTGTGGAGTTTATTCCCGAATGCAGATAAAAGCATTGGCGGATTCAGCTATTTAATTTGGCAGGGGCCCGGCTTATCCAGACCAGCCTAAGATAACAGGGGGCCTGGCCTCGAAAATAATTTTTGTCAGCCCTGCCGGCTTCAGTTTGGCCAAAAACTACGAGGGGGCCTGGGCCCCACCCCTAATCCACCAATGAAAAGCCTCGCATCTCCTTGAGAGAACTGAAGTAAGTTTTTAGATTTCGGAGAAAAATTTCAGAATTCGCGTGTTCTTCACTCATTGGGGGCGAAAGTAGAAGAAACAAGTCTTCGCTCCAACTCAACGTTTTTGGTGAGTAGCTGGTGAAAGTATTTCTGATGGGTCTACAGATCTTATCGGCTGTCTTAGTGTAGATATTGCGAAGCCTCGTCTTATTGAACTGACCAGACAGGTGATTCCGCCGGGTCAATCTCGCTAGCGTGGAAAATTGAAAGGGAAAACAAGAGGCGCTTTCTTTGCGATTTGTCGCCGCCATATCACAAGGCTTGAAACATGTTTACAACATTTTTCAGTCATATTCAAACAACTTGTCGTTGCAGAACAAACGCACTGAAATCGTAGCCAGTTTTAACTTGGGACAAAACTTTGCACTGGAAATCGCAACAAAATACACCGGCCTTTTTTTGCTTACCTCTCCAACAGAAGACACCCATTGTTACAAATTATTTGTTTGCTACTTCAATATTAAGAAACACTCAATTGACAATCCAATTATTTGACGAAAATTTGTTTTCCTATGAAACGTTGTTCCGTAAACCCATAATACGCCAGTTGCAAATCTCCCATAATGTTCTTTATTTGCCCCCACCCCCCCCCCCAAAAAAAAAAAAAATTACCCGTTTTTTATTATTATTATTTTTTTTTTCTCATTTCTCCTGGGTATTACAGCCGTCCCAAGAGAAATTGAAAACAATGCTTATGCAAAATTCTGGGGGCAAATAAGGTGCATTATGGGTAATGTGCACGTGGCGTAGATCAGTGAATATGTTTTCCATACATTCCTTGCGATACTTCTGAGAGGAAATTGTTGAAAAGTTTAAATTCATCTCGCGTTTCCAGTGTGGTTTCTTTTCCCAACGCAAACCTCTTGTGTTATTTGCACTATTGGAAATTCAGTAAACTGTAAATATTAAAGTACACTCAGATTTTTTTCTTCATCAGGAGAGACGACCATTTTCAGAAATATTATGTTGTAGCTGCAGTATAATTTATTCCGTTGTAGTATAAGTAGCTGACAACAGATTTTACTTAACTTAATTAGTGGCGTAAGCTAAATGTTATACATTTATTTCAGGAAAATATAACCTTTTACGCTTACAGAGAGGCGTTGATGACAGTTAGTACAGTATTCTGCATGTCTTGTCGACTGTTCATAGTCCCTGAGTCCCCTATTTTTCCCTAATATCTTCGAGATCGAGCGCTTTGCGTTACGGGTGGCCATCGTGGATGAGTGTAAAAAGCCCCGACGCTTGCTCCCTCGGTACATATGAAACCAAGACGGCCGCCCATACCGATAAGCGCTCGATCCTAACGATCTTACGAAAAATTAGGGGACTTTGAACAGTCTACATGTTTTGTCATTAGTCATTATTGTGGTCAGTGTAACTCTGATCTATTAACTTGTCAAGAGAGAGACAAGTGCTTCCCATTAAAGAACGAGGCTTGCAATATATTTATGCCCCTTTGTATCTCTGGTGTGCCTTCTTTCAATCTAAGTCAGATTCTTCAAGAATTTTTAAACGAGAACAAACTGGGTGATAAGTTTCCCAGTCGCCTGGACTTTCCAAAGGAGGTTTTTTTGGCCCTCTGAGCCAACAATCATGCCTGACACAACGCTTTGTTTAGAAAACATGTCAAACATTTTTTTCTCTTACAAGGGATATTGCTTTGTCATAAGTAAATTGACTGACCTTTCTTTTTGAAACAGAGTTGGCTCAGTGAAAGGTTTGAACCCAGGAGTCATTTCAAAAGTAGGTTGAGTTTGATCGTCCGGGTGAACGTAGTCCTGAATAGGACTGTTGTTGTTGACAGTGACTTAGCTCAGAGTTGGCTCAGATACTCGTTTGGTCACTGGAAAAATCGTCGCGTGTGAAAGGGCGCGCGCGCAATTCCCGCATTAACCAACCGATTTTGACGTTCTTTCTGTAAATCTCTTAATCCTGAGGAAGAAGATTTCATTACCCTGTGAGTCGCGATAGCGACATTTCCAGCAAAAGCTTTGATCCTGCAGTAATTATTATTAGATGATAGAGCGGTTTTCATTTGAGTGTCGAAAAGTAATTGGTTTTGCACTTTCTACACGATGCGATTGGCTTAAAAGATTCGCGCCACCTTTTCATCCAATCAGAAGTAAAACCAAAGCCAATTGTGACGCGCTCGCATGCATTTTCCCGCGCTTTGCGTCAGCCACATGTAATTACTTCGAGTTT